TAAAAAAAAAAAAAAAAAAAAAAAAAAAAAAAACAAAAAAAAAAAAAAAAAAAAAAAAAAAAAAACCAGCACGAGGAAAACTTTGGCAATCGCTTCAATCGGGCAACAAGTGGACGAAGGAAAGCGGGAACAAACCAGCTTTGGTCGGATCTCCTTCAATGTGGCCCTCCAACCAGTTTTCGTCGTCCGTTTCTGTGTTTGTGATCACTATCAAGTCTCCTTCCCTACAAAAAAATAAATAAAAATAGAACGATGTTTGTACAAAACGCTACCGTGTCGAACCTGGAATAAGAAGTTCAAACAGCAATCGTTTCTCCCGAAAAAAAAAATCTATACATTTTTACACATGCGGATGCAAAATATTTGCTTTAATCACGAGGGTTTTCTGAAAGTCCTGGAGTCACGGAAAGTTTTCAAAGCAAGGGGCAGAAGTTTTGCAGACAATTCTTAACCGTTCCTGATGAGATCTATGAAAGAATTTCATCCCACTTCCAACGGAAGAAATTCAGACACATTAAGAAATGACTTCTTTTACTGACCGTAACTTATCAGGAGGAAACTTGCTGAAAATTGGCAGAAGACAAGCGTCTTGGTAAGAATCATTCCATTCTGGAAAACAGCCAGTTCCTCACACACACTTCCCAACAACTGCATTAGGGGTTCTTTTACGCATAATTCAACTGCTGGATTCACAGAACGCACATATGCATCGGAAGTTTCAATTTTGAGTTATCCTTATTCCTTAAATCACTGATCCATGAATTTTAGTACTAAAAATCCTCAAGCAACAGTTGTAGGACGTAAGACATTGTTCTGACATTGGCGAAGTATCAGTTCGCCAATTTCGTCCGCGAATTTTCCACCTGACCAGCACCAAAAAGCCATTACGATTCGGCAATGGATTTGGATGCATTTTTATCCATCAAATAAAAATAAGTTAGCGTGTAACGGTTTTGATGCTGATGCAAACTGCGATTCGTTCATGATTTGCAAAAAAACTTGTTGAAACTCCTTATACAAGTCACGCGCGTCTGCAAAACGATGACGGACTTGACTCTCAAATTTTCAAAAAATAATTCTTCGAAAAAGCCCCAAAAGCACAAAAAAGTTCCAACCTGAAAGTGAGCTCATCTTCGTTATCGGCCTCACAATCGTACAACGCTCGACATCGTTTGGCTCTCGGTGTCAACTGATCTCCCCTCTGAAAAGGAGAAATAATGATGATTTGAAATCCTTGGAACAAATTCCAAAACCCTGCATTGAAAATATCGGAAAACACAATCATCTCCACCATAAAGGAGATGAGACTTCTCAGCAATCAAAAGATAATTGATCGCTGCAGGAAAAAACATTTATAATTGGATTTTCATTACTTTATGCACTGATATACAACGGACAACTGATAACATCTATCAACACAAACTTCAAATTGATTCTCTGAAGGGAAAACCTACTTTTCTCGGAGGTGGCTGGGGATTGTCATCCGAAGACAGCACGGAATTGAGGCTTTCGATGGACTGTCCATTCGCCATTTTCGCCACTGCACCCGCACTTTTCCCACTCGCTGATTTCAGGGCTGGCATTTCTCCGGGTGGCAACACTAACCTAGCACCAGCTTTAAAACAATCGTAAAAATAGATCAGAAAAAAATCTTCACGAAGTTTCAAGAGAAAAAAAAAATCGGCATCGGAGGTGATACAAAATACGAACAGAACAAATGAAATTTCAGTGATACAATCATAACAGAGAATAAAACGAATAAATGCAGTTACACCACTGAAAAGCTCCATTCTTCCGCAGAAAATTTATCAAGAGAGGACAGAGTACTGTAGTTCTATGCCACATTTTTCTCCACTTGTTGAAAAAAAGTTCCATTTCCAATTGAATGACTTATTTTTCTCATGTAATGAAAAATGAATTAATCGTTTATAGTGACGCAAGGATGGTCTTCTTTCGTTTCCTCGCGAAAAAAAAAAAAAACTCACCCAAGTGTAATTTGGAACCATGACCACCAGTATCTGAAGAAGACGACTTTCTCCTCTGCGACTGTTCCAAGGGCATCCATCCAGGAGGTGGTCTTGGCGCAGCTCGTTTCTTCATCGACGCCAGTCCTTGACTTGAACCTGATACCAGAGCATTTAAAAAGGTTATTTAGACTTGAATCAGGAAAAAGGAAGAAAAGAATCTCTGGTAATCACAAAAGCAACCAAATTCGAGAAATCGCGATTCTAATAAATTGGAAAAGTGGATTCTGATTTCGTACAACTACCAGTTTTAATGTCCTAGATAACTCATACACAATGATTTATACTGCTTTGGCATTTTTTCAAAAGTTAGCAGGACTGGATTAGTTTCGATATGTAAAACGCAAATTTCCCTCGGCGTTTACATTGTAATTTACTGCATTTCAATAGTTCCAGCAACTTAAAAAAAGACCATGACGATAAAAAAAAACTAAGGCATAAAATTTGCGTACTTTTCGGCAGAAAATTTTAAATTTGATATGGCTTAGCATGAAATGCACCCAATCCTGAAAAACTGTTACTCATAACTTTCCAAGTTTATCAAACTGTGAAAGCAATTTCAAAACTCAAGTTTCAGTACCAACCTTGTAAAAACTTGCACTATTTTTGAGCCAAAATATGACTTCACTTGAAATAATTTCGTCATGTGAGTCACGATTTTCCCTCTAAAAATGTTCGTTTTGCTGATTCTTCGCAGAAGTGCACTGTGCAGTAAATTACATTACACCGATCAATCCATCCAAGACTCTCACAAATCCCGTAGGCCAAAGACTAACAAAATCAATGAACACCCAGCCTCGTTACAAGGTGAAGAAAAATCGGAACACACTGACACACGTACCTGGAGAGGTGACATCTACATTCGAGCCTCTCCACAAGGTCTCCGTCTGAGATCTCTGTCTCCTCTGCGTCGGACTAATCTCGGGCACCACAGAGCTGGTTGTTCTGGCCACACTTTTACTAGCTCCTCCACTTCCTCCTTGTGCCCTCACCGTCGCTCCACTCAACACCGACGATGCCTGCAACCGAACCCATTCATGGGAATGCAATCAGCAAACATAATGAGGGAAAAAGAGAAGAAAAACATTTCCGTGTTCTCCGATACCGCAATTATTTAGACCAGAAAATAAAACAACGACGGAGAAGATACAGGAGAGCGCGTAGCTTCCGCCAAAAGGACTCATCCCAACCTTTCACCCCATTATTATTCCTGATGACGCTGAGAATATTTTTTATATAAAGTACTGCGTTCATACAGCAGGGGCAGGAAATTACAGGGCGTGCCTCTGAAAAGCTTTCCCATCAGCAAGTTTTAACCAATGCCGCAGACAACAGGAACGACTAAGGGAGAAAAATACTCGACTCAAGAATTGAAGATGGGAATTTCTCATACGTTATTTCGATTCAATTTCATTCAAAGATGTTGTGCATTTAATACGGTAACTCAAAACTTGAAGCCAAAAGTTTCACACGCAAGTTTATTCTATTAAATTCTCGAACGAAACGAATTTCAACCATGCTTAATGAAAAAAGTGTGCAAAAATAAAATGAGTAATTCATAAATTTATTTAATTTCTTAATGAACGAAGTTACAGAAATTGCAAAATTACGAAATAATTTTAATTCTAAGATAAAATGGCAAACCATTTCAAGTCATCGTACTTATATCCTTGACCGCAACCCAACCAGGGAAATCAAGACATTGATGACTCATATATCTGAATCAAGAAAATTTCTTCTTTCCGTCTGTTCGTCACAAAATAAGCTAATAATGGACTATAAAAAAGTACAATGATGTACAGTACTTACAAAAACTGATCGGCGACAGATTTGCATAGTTCTTTAAATTTTCTAAAGGCTTTTTAGGTAAAAATATCCTTGTGCATTTTAACAATCGCAGTAGGTACAGTATTTTTAAACTTGCAAAATCTGTGATTGCTTTTATTAAAAATATTTTTAAAATTAAAAAAAAAAATCTTGGGAGATATTTTTAAAATTAAAAATACTTGCGAGATATTTATAATAAACGCTGCGAGAAGTGGAAACTAGAATGATGAAAATTCAGCGCCTGTGAAAGCATCTAGTGCAGGAAAATGGACTCCACGGCAGTCCATAACAAAGTCTACGGAAAACTTTCATGTCTTATTGAATAAACTTCAAGAAATTACGGAAGGAAACAGATTTTTTCAAGTGTTCGATCATGTTCTCACTTGCGGTTTCTTAAACGATATGCTATTAATAGGATAATTTTCTTTCAAATGAATGAAAATCACAGAAAACTGGCCAGCTTTCATCCGCCTACAACGAAAATCTGTTTTTTTTCTTTGCGATTCCCAGAACTTTCGAGATACCCTTCGTGAGTCATTCAAAAACGCAGCTCACGTTTTTGTACTCACATCAACCGTATCTTTGGTTTTCCCCATAGAATTTAATGGTCATTGATAAGAATAATTGGCCAACTTCGCGACCGCATTTTGCAATTCGTACTTCATTCTTTTTGAAAATTCTTGCTTTAGATACTGCATCATCGAACACAAGCAGATATTTACCCGGTTGGCAGCCCCGACGACAGCAGAAAAGTCAGAGTCCACAGCGATGTCGTCGTCGGACAAATCCGTGGAAGGCTCTTCTTGCGGTAACGTCGTCCAGTCGATTGTGACGTTCTCAAACAGCACCTTTTTACCTTCCAGAGCATGATTCAACTAAAAAAAAAAATTACATAATAATAATCGGATCACTGGATTAGAAGGGGGACTGAAAAAAGGGCTTTCCTTCAAATGTTCCGATTAGTCGGTCGTGTATCAAGTGTCCCAAATTTCAAACCATTAATGCGTAGAGAGAAATGGAAAAAATGCCTGAATAAGAGAGACACAAAACAAAATTTTGAATTCTTCTCCTAGTAAAATATATCTTCTGAACTTGCAAATATTTCTAGTTTCGTGACTTTCAAAGTACTCGAGAGTAAAAAAAAAACGGTTCCCTCAACAATAACAAACTATTTCCTGTTCTATTTCAACGCGTCTCGAGTCCATGAGTTCACTTCACATTGTATAGGTGTCCCGTGAATTATCACATTGTCATCATATTAATTTTATTTTGCGTTAAAAATGATATTTAATACTTCTGTCAGGTTCAACACAAGAAATGACGTTTCTGCGAAGTACCGCATACACAGAAACTTCAAATCACGTAGGTAAGAAACTTTTCGATGGAGTCAATGGGATGCCCGTATTACTCGGGGATAAATTTGTATCCAAATTTTAGGCTGACAATTTTGGGTGCGTGGTACAGTACTTGAATAAATACGGTACTTCCAATTGAAAACAACATAAATAAATTTGACTGAAAAATAAACCCCGCAGAAAACGTATCTAATAAGTCAATCCACCGAAACTCACGAGTTCCTCGGCACTGGCCAAGTGCATTTGCTTGGCGAGATGCATGGGACTTTGCCCGTCGGCGTTTTCCGCATTCGGGTCTGCGCCAGAGCGGAGCAGCAGCTTCATGCAATCCACCTGGCCACGACGGACGGCCAGGTGCAGCGGAGTGTCGCCGGCAGTCGTCGCCACGTCCACGCCCGACACCTGCGCCGCGGCGGCATTCTGCACCAAAAAGTCCACGATGTGCAGAGACCTGCCGTCTTCTTGCTCAACTGCCAAGTGCAAAGCTGTTTCTTCGTTTGGCTGAAACACGCAAATGAACACGAGATGAGATAGGCACGAACAACTCTCATCTAAAAAAAAAAAAATTTTTCTCAGGCTTTCATCTTTACATTAGATCTCCTTCGTGAATACAGTAGAATCTCGCAACAACGAAGCGTTCGAGACCTCAAGAAAGATTTTTCACAAATAAAAATTCGTTCACAATAAATTAAAATGATATAGTGGCTGTTGGACAGGGACCGAAACATCAAATTCGTTGCAGGCAATTATTTCCTATGAATGAGATTCTACTATATAATGAAAATTATAAAATTCACGCGACACCTATGCAATGAAAAGTAAAATCTCCGACTCGAGACACGTGGGAATAAAACAGAAAATAATCTTAATGTCGAGAGAAACATTTCTTGACAAGTATTTAATGTTTAAAAAAAAATTAAATGGAAGAATTAAAAAACATGAACTAGATTCCCTTTCAACAGTTTGCACACGAAGAAAGATGCAATCAAGGGCCAAGAAATAATTTCAACTTACTCGCGAGGGAAGAGGAGAGCAAATGTCGGTTCCTTCGGCCCAGGCCTGCAAAAGCTGGGTCACATGTCTCGAAGTGACCGCAGCTTCAAGATCCGTCAGAAGTTCGCTTTGATCATACGTCGTTCGCACTACATACTTTCTCTCAACATACTTGGCTCTAATAAAAACCCTCTTCTCTTCCCTATGAATTAAAAAAGACACACATATTTCAATTCGGAAAGTTTCATTGATGAAAATTCTTGAATGGAATCATACATAGAACTGTTGGGTTTTGGTTTGGCAGGACAACCAGCAGGGAAATACGCTTCCATGACTTCGTTGAAGGCAAGGTTCGTCATGTTCCTCGCAATCAAGAGCTGTGCTGTACCAACGTGGTCCAGTGTCAGACTCTGAACCCTAGAAATATGAACTCCCAAATCCCTGTGAACTCCACTGCACTCGATGCACATGACGACTCCGAAGTTCGTCGAAATCCACGTTGCATCTGTAAAAATCATCATGTTTATGAAATAAACATCGGAAATTGATTTTAAAAATTCTCACCGTTTTGACCAAAACAATCAACGCAGCGATCGTTTCCAGGCAGTTTGAGGATCTGTTTCGTGATTTGTTGCTGCATTTCTCGCAGAGAAGCACTGAGTTTGTGGCCAAGTCTTCCGTCGTCTTTCTCTGCTGACCCAAGGCAACTCGACGGACCATTTGACTGCTTGAAAAATAAAAAATATTATTGGCGAGCCTTTACAAATCACACTCAGATCAAAGTAATGTGAGGAGTAAAACTGAGTCACAGGGTTATTCATCGATACAACTGGGACACGATAACTAAAACCAACCAACGAAGAATTTTTTCAAGGCCCTGGTCTGAATTCTCTCAGGAACAATTTATTAAAAACCTCTTTCACGCAAAGGTGTTTCCCTCTCAAACCTCCGTAAATCAAATTTTCTGAAGGCCTTTTGGCTACTACTTTTAGAACAGGAAAGAGAAAAGCGATAAAAATGTAACTTGATGTGTTTTGAAATGAAATAAAAGACTACTTGGGAAAATAAACCCTCGCCTCCAACTTCTGCATCCTGTCAACTCATTAAGAAGCAATTTGATGCCCAGAATAGCACCAATTACAATTTCCTGTAAATATTCTTTTTTTCGTTTCAAAACATAAAAACCAGTACTTATTCCCCAAAATCGAGGTTTTTTTTTCTGCTGGACCTTTGATTTGAAATTTGACTTCAAGATGTTCGACTGTGCATAAATTTTCCACTATAATCAATTTTAAAATGTCTTCCCACTTTCAACCGGTTATGAAATCATTTCAGCCTGAATTAACTTTCTCTAGTCAAGCTTTTTTTAGTTTGCGAGAAACAAACAGCGCATTTCTAGGCAATGCCTCACCTGAAACGCGTTTTTTAGCTGACTGTCACGGCAATTGATGAGAACCGACACCCAGGCCTCCCTTTCCCGTTCCATACAAGCAGTGTCTTCTCCTTCAACTTGGAAATGGTACGTTCTATTACAAGCAATCAGATCAAAGCTTCTTTCATCATCCGGCACGGTTTTAAACTGAGACGTCAACAGGTTGATCTTCGTCGGCGGTTTGTTCTCGTCCGAATGGGAAATGAACAGGAATCCTTCATTCACTTCGCATCTCCTTCGTTGCCACACTCTTCGCATTTTTCCTTCGGATTTCTTCAAGAGATACCCAACTTTCGTGGTTCCGTGTTCCTTTTTGCCCTGAAGCTGATGCAAACTATAGCCAGCGGGTTGCGAATTGCCTGCAATCGGATGCGGAATGTCCTTCTCCGTGGGTTTCAACAGGGTTTTCAGCTCCGTAAGCCGCTTTTTCTCCACTTCTTCGTACTGCCGAACCTTTTGCACCTTGGATGCCAGATCCGAGAAATAGTCACGATAGTGCTCGATAGTCTTCAGACCTTCTTGGAAATAGGTGATTTGCGCGTGATAGTAGCCAATGAGATTCTGCAGCAAATCCACGCCCTTCTTGGTCCGGATGTCGTTGAACTTGAGCAGATACTCGCACATCTTCAACTGAAGGTTCTTGCGTTCCTTCTCCATCTCATCGGCGATCTCGGCTGCTGTGATCTCGGAACGAGTCAAACCGGCTTCTTTGGCTTGCAGCTTCTTCTCTTTCTCAATTCGACCGAATTTGGCGTCATAGTCCTTCCAGGCTCGGTCAAAGGGACGCCGCATGTCGCCACTGACTTCTCGAAACTCGCCCTTGATGAAACAGTCCAGAGGGATGAGCACTGAGGAGTTGAGGCGGTCCATGAGACTCTTGGTAAGGGTTGACAGATCCCGGGTCACGACGGAAAATTTGTTGAACGCGAGAGCCAGATCCTTGTCGTAGTCTTGGGTGGCTGAGATCATACCCATCTTCTCTAGAGATTGCGAAAAGTAGTTCTCATTGTCCATGTGCGCTGTTCGGAATGGAAAAAAATAAAAATCACAATGAAGTCGAAGGAATCTTAGAATTCCGATAAATAATAGGCGCCTTGGAGAATAAATGCTTCCTCTCAATGGAGACAGCCTACCTCTGATTTTTGCTACGAAATGTGAAACTTGTTTCTGACTTATAAAATTGCGTGGACCGATATTTTCTTTTAAAAATTTAAATTTTTGCGGGAAATTTTATACAGGCATATCAAATTCAAAGTGGATAAGAATACTATAATTTCATACTTCTCTCGCAAGATTTTCCGCATAATATCACGTTCGCATGTTTTTTCAGTAATTCAAGGATTTATGAAGAAAGTTTCGAATACTGTAATCTTGAACGGATCAGACAAATCTCATACTCTTACATTAATCATTAGAGGGACCTTTCGAAAAACCGGATTCCACCAGCCATTGAACTTAAATATTTTCAAGATAAAAGTTCCTCTTGAATGAATGAAGTCCATTAAACTTTGAAAAACTGTATCGCATTCAAAACCTCAGTGAAGCTTGGCATTGAGAGACAATTTCCTCATGGACCTCTGGGTTATTTGCACGTCCAGATGCGGCGTAATTCACAAAATGTTCGCTTGAAAATAAATATCTTCAATTACAAAACATTTCAAGAACAAATTCAAAATAAATGCACTTTTTGATGCTGCCTACAACAAGCTGGCATCATAAACCATACAAAGCCACACGAAAACCCTTCACACAGATAAAGCTACCTAAGCAAGTTACCCTTCATACTCGTTACTTGGTACGAGTCGCATTCAATCTCCAAGCTCCATTTCATAGTCATCATACAAACAGAAAATCACACGTGGAAAGCATCATGCTTCACGTTTGATATTCACTATACAGTACAATACGCAGCCACAAGCACCATGAATTGTCTCTTGGGATTGATCAAGGGCTAATCCTGAATAGATGGAAGTTAGACGGGAAATAATACCGTCATGGACTAGCATCGTAAGAAGAATAATACGAACTACTGTACAACACAGAATTTCACCCATACTTCGCTCGTTTTCGCACCCATCACTCTATTTGGACGAAAACTTTCAGCCTACTCGCAGTACAAGAGAAAAAACGTTTCTTACACTTCCCGCTGCTGTAGACAGCTTTCACGGCTTTCTTCAACTTCACCAAGCCCTCCCGGTCATGTTCCAGAGACTTGAAAAAATTTTAAACGGTAAGTCAGCACGAAATAAATAAATATCACTCTGAACTGGATTACTTACTTCATCCAAAACTGAGATCGTTTGCCGGCATTGAGGTATGCGGTGTACAAATGTTGACGTGGTCGGAGACGAGAAATCTTCGCGAGTCTCGCGAATGAATTCATTTACAGTGATTGACGGTGGCATCGTATCAAGCTTCCTTCAGACCGTTTGAAAACCCGGTCGGTGGGCGAATATGAATATAGCCGAAAGTACACAAGATCACGCGGTTATCAGTCCACATCACTTGCCCATAGAAAAGATAATCCACTTCTTCACGTCGTCTGAAAATAAATAAGCGTTTACGGGTCAGGGAACACGCTGCTCTCGAGAATTCAATACAAAAATGGAACTGAAGATTTAGTTCACAGGCAGCCACTTCGAGCACTCGCATCCGGGAAAGAACCTTCAGGAACACGAATACCACCGCCTCGATTGTTATTCTTCCTTCGCCCGGTTCTCCTTCACTTGAGCTGCCAATGCTGTAGCTCGCTTTGTGCATGTCAACAAGGAAATCTCAAACGTTTGAAGGCCGTAAGGTTGCGCGGCACGGACCTTGACTCCACTACACTGGACAATCGTACTTAATATCATCAAGTCACCGATGACTAACCATGTTCAATGAATATACATGCGAGAGAGGATAACTCCGGACACCGACGATAACGGCCAAGACTCTCGGAAGATATACAGTTTCATCAGAACAGCGAGAAATCCTCACGCTTCACTGACCAGACATCGGCTTTTTTCCATCCTCACCGAATATTTTCAAGTTCAAGAGAGGCCAAATATTCTGAAGAGCCTGAATCAGTAGGAAGAGTCTCAGTGTACGGTACTTTATCCCTGGTTACTATCGTACCCTTGGAGCATGCGGTTTCCTGCAGCAAAATTTCAAAACCAAATATATTTTACCTTAAATTCTAAAACTTTTCATTCTAAAAAATATCTCCTGTTTATTCAAGGTTTCCGTTCGTGTTTGCCTATCAGTGACACAAATATAAATAAGTACGGTATTTTTAATACTGTTGTACCTTCAGCGTAGCCCGCATGGAAGAGACGATGGATAAGCGTCCTGCGAATTTCCGATCTCTGAATCGCTGTTAGTGTACGAATCGAACGGGAATTACAGTATGAGGACGTAATCGTTCCTTTCAACAATTGCACTTGAAGCTACAAATTCCTTTGTGTTCGTGAGTGAATGAAATTGCTGACTTAGGCTTCCTTCCCCGATTGTCGATCGTGGCGGAAAGGTTTCCAAAAGTGAATTTTGCAAGATCCCTGCCCTTCGACGGCATCCTTTCCAGCCATGGGCGAGCAAAGCCAAAGCAGGCCAACTGCGGCTGAGGCTGAGATGAAAGGATGGCTCTACAAATGGACGAACTACATCAAAGGCTATCAAAAGCGTTGGTTCGTCCTAAACGATGGACTTCTCTCTTACTACAGGTACATTCGCTTCCATGCTTGAACGATCGTGTCACATTTTGCTCCCTCACCCTCTAAAAGAAAAATAATTCTCTTGTCAGTGTGACGTATATCCGAGGTGTGTGAGGATGGACCGCAGAGATCAAAGTGGGCCTGATTGTTTGGACGGATGGAAATCAATTCAACGAGAAATCATTCGAAAGAAAGAAATCCATTTTCGAAGGATAACTTCTTGTTGTTGACCGTTTTGGTCAATTTTCATTAAATTTTGGTTAAATGCGTATCTTAAGCTTTATTGACAACCCCTGGGAATCTTCGCGCCATCCTTTTTACATTTCGAATGCGATTCCTGCCGTCTCCATTATTAACTGCATTTTACCCTACTAACATTTTCCTTCGTCCCATAACGTTACTTTTCTTACCCGAATTGATAATGAAATCCAGGCCACTGCGTATAGTTGCTTGAATACGATGCGATGTTTTCTGTGTGTTTGGCCTTGAATGAATGTCTTTTCAACATTGATGCAGATCGCCGGCGGAAACTAACCACACGTGCAGAGGCACTATCAGCCTACACGGGGCAACTATTTCAACCGAAGATGCCTGCAATTTTGTTATCTCAACTTGTGGTACACAAACTTGGCATCTGAAAGCTAGTTCCGAAGTTCTTCGTCAGCGTTGGGTCTTGGGTCTTGAACTAGCTAAAAACAAAAGCATCGGCGTAACTACATCAGGTGACACTGAGTAACTGTTGAATAGCTTGATTTTTTGTCGCTGACGGAAAATATTTTCAGATGATGAGGAGGACATGGAAATGGAGGAGATGGAGGAAAGTGCCGGATTAGACAAACGAATTGAGCTGCAAGCAGTTGTTCAACTATTGAACACGAAATTAGCCCATATCAAGGAAGCAGAGAAAATTGTCATCAAACACGGCGGAACTTTATTGGCAAGATCTTATTTTTTTTCGTTGTGGAACATTTTTTATGTAATTTTTTTTATTCATGCAGGGGTCTTTACAATCCCTGGAAGTACTTTTTCCTAAACAGCCTGATGGAACGGGTGAAGCAGTGCCGAATGCTGTGTACATACCCGAGCTTCAGTCGACGAGCAAGACAATCAACGAGCGGTCAACCATGTTCAAATTCGCGTGCTCAATGATGATCAACTCTTGCCGAGAATACGCCGATCTGGCCAATGCCCAAGGTCGCAAATGGCAAAGGCTGCTTCAGCACGAACGCGACCAAAGGCTTCGGTTAGTTGCGCATTATTGAGCTGCTTCTCAGTAACCGTACTTACTCGAATGTCCGACGCGATTTTGTGCGTTTTTTTTTCAAATTGTATTAATTTCGCTCAAAATATAATGACGCATTTAGAATCGCTTTTTTAGGATCATAATGATGGCGTAGGAAAAAGCCGTATCTGAGACTTTTATCGATTGTGTTAATCAAATCTTCAAAAGCTATGGCTTTGCAAGCGAATCTAAGGCACAAACGTACACGGCGTGACATCAAAAACAAGATCCCCAGATTTATCTGCCAAGTTTATCTAGAAAAACAAGGTTTCATATTTTGCTCAATTGTGGTTTTAATTTTTTGTTTAAGCCGTCATGTCGATAAATCTTTGCAATGCTCATGAATATTTTTAAAATTTAGCTAGAAGAGGGGGTTTCATAATTTCTCAGTTGTGGTTTTCATTTTTCTTTCAACCTATCGCGATGATAAATCTTCGCAAGACGCATATGTTGTTTAAAATTCGTGAGTGATGGTCGTAATTTTTTTGGGCATCCTGTTAGCCAGTTTTATTTATTCACCTTTTTGATGGAAAGCGGTGGAATGTACAGTATAGTACAGTACTTGGTTTATAGTTTGGAAGAAATGGTGGAGACACTCGCGCGTCAGCATTCTCACCTGGAACAGAGTGTGGTTCAAGAGCACCAAGACTTGAAAAACAAGCCAGAGAAAACCAGGGCTTCTGCGGAACATTCCCTCATATCCAGAGAACCTGCTGGTACATCCAAGAACGCCAGTGCTTCTAGTAACTCTGACAGCTTGAACATGAGGTCTGCTGGGCCTCCAGTTTCAAGTAAGTGTACAACACGACAATTTTCCAATTTCTGAAATGAAAAAAAAATTTCTATTTTTACGATGTTCGTTTCAAGAAGTTTTATTTTCTGTGTGTCGCTTTTTTATGGCTAGAGATGGACTTTATTTATGCTGTGTATACAATCCAATCATGCGCTAAACTTTTCTTCAACGAGGTTAAAATGTGTAGAAGACGGACTTCGAAGTGCTTTCTTTTACTCTACGGAAGTATGGTTCACCTTCTGAAATGTAATATATCTTGAATTTTCAAGTGTGCTGATTGCTGCCAAATACGGCACATACAGTATTTCAAAAAATTTTCAAGTTTCCTTGGGGACAGTATCACTAATTTGACAACCATTTTCCTATGATTTTCTAGTGTGCGACGAAAAAGTGTGGGTGGAGTTGGTCCAAAAATTGTTGATTTTTGAGTAGTTCCTCGAATCCTTACCTTAATCGAACTTTTATTTGCTGCGTGATTCAATGATTTTCACAATACGGTACTTTATTACGTGTTGGAGTTTTCAACTGAAGTTCAGTGCGGCATGTTGATGTTTCAGATTTCTTTCCGAGTATGTCACAGAAAATATGTTTTTTTCTGATTTTGTATTATGAAATTCGTAGGATTATTTTTTTTAGAAAGGAGGGAGTTGTACCTAATCAGGAAAAACTGGTTCTCAAGTTATAGATGCGGAGAGTTTTTTTTTCTTTCGCTTGACCTCATTTTGAAGTCGACCTCTTTTTCCTCGGGCAGGTCTCAGTGACAGCGACGACAACGAAATGGAATTTTTCGACGCCTTGGAAGAGAACGATTCAGACTTTATAGTTCAGCGCTCCGCAACCGGGAACAACGTTAGTAACGAATGTGTTATTTATGATTCGTGCACGTCAATGTCTTTTTATTTTATTTCTGTTTTAGGTTCCCGTGGTGGAAACAGTTCAGAATGTGATCATGAACGGGGAAAAGCCGCCGATTTCCCCGCCGAGGTAAGATGACTGTATTACAGTACCTTCCCTTTTGATAGCATTTTCAAATTTTAGATTTATTAGTCAAAATTGCTGAACAGAAACATATTTTGAAATTTTCAGCTAAGACACGTAGGTTGCTCGTTCAGATAAATATCATTAAGTGAAGCGTTGTGAACGTTTAATGATTTTTTCCTGAGTTGACAGAATTAATTTTTTTCTTTTTTACGCCGCGTGCGAGGGTTGTCTCGATTTCTGCGTACGATCAAAATTTCCACACCTCTGAATTAGATGGTATGTCGTATGGAAGTAGAGCAGTTGAGATGGACTTATCGTCAGGAACAATTGTTTCTGGGTTATTCCATGTGTCCCACTTACTTTAATTGGCACGCACCCGATTCTGCTATCCTGGAATATTCTCGACCTCATTGCTCAATTCGAATAAAAAATTACTTAGTTGATGAGGTATTAACACGAATAGGGTTTTTTCACGTGCGAATTTTTAAACGAGTTTTAAACTTTCTCGTTTGTATGAGAAATGCCGTTGTATGATCAAAGGGAGAATGTTCTGCGCGATGTGCATCAGAAAAACGGCTCAAATCGGTTATTGGTACTGTACAAGAAAAGAAGTATGAGAATACAAGTGGAGTCTCTCGACCACGATTTTCTCTGTTGAACCCATTTTCTTCTGTCCCACAGGGTTTCATCACAATGCAATAGGTGTTCTCTTCAACGAAATTCTTTTCACAACAGAATTCAACGGTCAAGAAAGAAAATCGGTGGTAGAGAGGGTCCCACCTGTAGGATTAATTAAAAATGAAAACTTTCGGAAAAAGTCATGTTGATTGCAGAAGTTTAAATTACTGTATTCAAATCTCAACTAAAGAGAAGTAAGCTTCAAATATTTGCAATTATTTTATTTTTTTTTCGGTGAAGTTGACCATGCACGGGTATTTTTTCCTCTTACACCCGTCATCCTTGTAGGAAAACGTTGGGTAGGTGCAGTATTATCCAAAGTACAGTAGTGTAGTGTAGAGTTAATAAACTGACCTAACTAACTGAGCCAAATTATACAATAGTTTACTGTATTATGATAGTCCTGCTCATCGTTCTGTATCTAGAACACAATGCGTGTAAATGCTCTTATTTTCATTGCAGCCCTTGAATCCTGACGAGCGGGTTTTTTATGTTCATCAAGGTCGCAGTGCAACAAAATGCCTAAAAAATTGATACAAAGCTTGTGAGCGGTATCAAAGATTCAGAAGTTGAATTCGTGAAGTCGCAAAATCTGCATTTGCTGCAATTCTTGGAGCAAAAAAAAGCCAAGCAATGTGTATAAGTGCAAACATATTTTTTCCAATTAAAAGTCGGGGTAAAATCCAGAGAGAAAAAAAAACGGTAGCGCAACCGAATTTCCGTTTTGTGCGCGCAGAAATCAAGACACCTCGTGTATGTGGATGATGGTTGATTTCCATCAAATTCTCCAATGATTAGTCATGAACATTTTTTCATTAATGCTTTCTACAGTTACTGAATTCGATTCGGAAAGTAACGTCATGTTGTGCCGAACTGTGTTAATCTTGCAAGATGCGTGTGAATCACCTGTAGTGTGTCGGAGTCTGAACGAGACTCCATTCATTGAAGTTCATCGGACCTCTTCTCTTCGTGTTTTGAGCAGTCAGCCAGGTACCCCGAAATTGGCGGGAAGCACAGTTGCGAAAAGAGCTGCTCGCAAACGTCGCACGTCCATCCCGGACAGGCCCAACATTTCCGTCAACCTCTGGAGCATCATGAAGAATTGCATCGGGAAAGAGTTGACCAAGATCCCGATGCCTGTGAATTTCAGCGAGCCCTTGTCGCTGTTGCAACGACTCACCGAAGAGTACGAGTACAGTCATTTGCTGGATGAAGCTGCGAGATGCACTGATCCCTGTGAACAGCTGGCCTACATTGCCGCCTTCACCATTTCTCCGTATGCTGCGACGTCTTATAGAACCGGGAAGCCGTTTAATCCGCTGTTGGGGGAGACTTACGAGTGGGACAGAACTGAGGACTTTGGATGGAGAGTTCTTTCTGAACAGGTGAAAAATACTGTACAAGTTATCCGAATGCTGGATGGTTAAAAATAAAACACTTCGACGTCAATTAAATACAGTACAGTACAATGGTACAGTATGTATATACAGCATTTTTTTTTTCGTACGCACATATATTTCACGAATACACTCAAATAGCGAAGTAAAATGATTCAAGGAAAACTTCCAAAAATACGCGAGGAATTTTACCTTAGAATGCATCCTGCTGTGGTCGAATGAATTCTGAATTCTCACTACGTCAAGGTGAAGCTTCTAAAAAATATGAACAATAATATTTTGAAATGAAACCTCGGAATCATTTCTTGGGTTCAGGAATTGATTGGACAATTGTACTTTAATAATAATAGCCGCTTTGCATGGGGATCTAGAAAACAGGATTTTGGAAATTGCCATGGACCGGGACACTTTTATGTGATGCAAAAAAGAAGAAAACTTGGGAAAATTTCTCTAACGATTTTATGGAAAATTTTCCGGTCTAATTGGCTTAAAAATATTCTGCTAGAGTATTCGGGACAACACATTTCAAAAGTTTTGGCATCCAATGTGTCTCGAAAAAGTTTGAACGTATTCAGGATTTTAAAAATGTTTATTTGCCTGGAAAAAAGCTTTGAGCTGAAGCAGATCTAAAAACCAGAAGTTAAATACTGTACCTTTGTATTTTGAATTTTTCTCAAGTCACTGCCCGAGTTCCTTTCGAAATTATGCATTAAAAACCTCTATATCTAGAATTTTCTGAAGGTCTTCTTGGCTACTATTTTTGTGACACAGAAGAGAGAAAAGCAACAATATTTATCGATACTATTTTTTAAAGGGAAAGACTTAATATTCGGCGGAAGAACATTTGCCTCCAACTTCAGCATCATGTAAACTGAAGGAAATAGAATATGAAGCGTAGGAAATACAGGTGGACTCTCTACAACAAACTTCAAGGGACCAGAAAAAAATTCGCTGTAGGAAGAATTTACTTGTAGAGAGCCCCTATAACATGAGGATAAAATCTCATGGGACAAAAAATAAATCGTTCTACAGAGAAAATCGTTCGAAAAGATAGTTGTAGGGAGAATCCCCTTGTGTTCAGAAATTATTGTGAAAAATGTTATTATGTACATGATTACCTCACAAATGGCGAAGAAGTGAACAGATTTAGGAACTCGTACTGTACTTCGAAGAAGAAAACCCAATAGGCAAGCAAAATTATTGCATGAGGATTGCAGAGAGAGATCACAATCTGCGCAATTGGATGAAAATTTTCAACGTTGTGACTCGCCATTTTCAATTGTTTTTTTCAGGTGAGCCATCACCCGCCAATAGCAGCTCAGCATTGTGAAGGAAAGAATTGGGAAGTGGTGCAGGAATTCAGCATGTCTTCTAAGTTTCGCGGGAAATATTTGCAAATTGTGCCGTTGGGAACATCGCACCTGTTCCTCAGACCGCAGAACAGTGACGGGAAAACGTATCACTGCACCTGGCGCAAAGTTTCGACAACTGTGCACAACATCATCGTGGGCAAGCTGTGGATGGACAATCACGGAGAGATGGACATCATCAATCACACTACTGAGGACAAGTGTCACTTGAAGTTCATACCCTATTCCTATTTCTCGAGAGATGTCCCTAGAAAGGTAAGAATCCGTTTTATTTTTTATTTTTTAAGTTCCGAGTTTGACTTTTGAGAGCCGGGTTCAAGAGTTGGGTGTGCATTTGAAATTACGGATTCCCTAAAAAAATATAATTCATTGTTTCGTCTGTTGTTGTTTGCTTCTATTGGTCGAGTCTTGTTGAATAGATGAATTCAAATGAATTAAAATATTTACAGCTATTGAACGTCCTGACTACTCTCTTCCATTTGTTGCTTACCCAAATTTTAATAAGGTAGTAAATTCGACTCAAACCTTATCTCTTTCTGGTAACCCATATTAAATATTTATTAGCTGAATTTATCAGTGAATTATTCCCAAAAGCTAACAAATCGAAATTTTATGCCGTTTTTGGATATACAGTAGATCTCGTGAGAACTTCAAAATTGTTGAGGGGTATGGAAAAAAATGCTAATTATTTTTTATTCGTGGGTAAAAGTGCTTTCTATTTTGGGGTTTTTGAAAATCTTGGCAAAAATTTCATATGGGACAAGTTCCGAAAATGTCGATTTTGAAAAAAAAAATCTCCTGCTGGTGCCCGTGACGGGGAAAAAATTTTGAACTCGCAATGGTTTGGAAGGTTCTTATTCAGACCGAAGAAATTTATTTCAAGGTATTTAAAGAGAAAAACTTCTGAACCATACCTCGTATGACAAGCTTCAGCCAGTTTATTTTTTGCATCGTTTCGAAGTTCAGAAATTAGTGATTTTGTCATTTTTATTGCATTTACTTGGATTTGTCTGATATAGCTTCGCAGCACACGAGGTACTTGAAGTTTGTGAAGGGTCGTTGAAAGTTGTCTCGCCGTTTTCGGATTGCTTTTCCTGCATTTTTCTTACTGATTTGTTTTTGAAACAGGTGACAGGTTATGTTACAAACAAAGAAGGGACAATCAAGTGGGTGGTCTCTGGGACTTGGGACGCCAAGATTGAAGCAGCCCAAGTAGTGAAAACGTCAGACTCCGAGTCCGGGAAGCCGGTGCTTGAAACAGCTCAGCCAAAGCTATTGTGGAAAGCGAATAAGATTCCGTAGGTTCCTCATACACTGACCTTATAGGTCATGTAAATAAATGTTCCGTGTCTTGAAATTTCTCTCTTTTTTAATTTTTTTTTCATTCAGGCCGGGGGCGGAGAAATGCTATAACTTGTCAGAACTGGCTGTGCAACTGAATGAAATGGAGGAAGGGGTTAGTCCTACAGACAGTCGCTTCCGTCCTGACCAAAGAATGATGGAAATTGGACGCTGGGATGAAGCTAATCAGGTGAACATTTGTCATCTCACAATTTTCAAACTTCAACGTTTAAATAAAATGACATTTAGAACATTCATCGAAAGCAGGATTTTTCTCTGCCACTTTTTTTTCCAAATGGCTGAACATTTTTCATCTCCCACTTCTCAAACGTTAAAAAAAATGGCATTTAGAAAATTCATGGAAAGCAGGACTTTTCTCAGCCAAGTTTTTTTCCTAATCGGGCGAACATTTTTCATCACTCCCTTTTCAAACGTCGACGTTTGAAAAAATAGCATTTAGAAAATTCATGGAAAACGGGACTTTCCTCCGCCATTCTTTTTTTTCGGACTGCTGAGATATTCAAATTCTAACGCCATAAAATAAGTACCGAATTTATTTAAGGTCTCAGCATAGGGTTCTTTCATTCACATCCCAGTTTTGTCTCCAAATAAGACTCGTCGAAAAATGCGCGTGGCAACGCAAAGTCTGAACTCTGAATCGGGACGCGCGAAAATTTTCAAATCCTTTTCTAGTGAAATCCACAAAATTTTCTCGTTAAACGAAATCCGCATTTTTTCAATCATTATTTGGAAAAAGTATTTAAAATTCAAGATAGCGTCCTCTGTATTAGTTTATTTGGTCCTTGAGAATGGCTAATCGAAGTTCAACACAGACATTTTGCAATTAAATTGCAATATTCGTAACATGCATATGTACTGTACATGATGGACTTGGAAATGTTGATTTATTGGAGAATTACGTTTTTGCATGTGCGTGTATGTTTTTTTTTTTTACTTCTTGATTTTAGGAGAAAGTGCGATTAGAAGAGAAGCAAAGAGCAGCCCGACGAAAGCGTGAACAAGAGTTGGAGCAGATGACGACAGAAGGTGGGTATTATACTTTTGATGTTTTTTTTCTTGAAAACACACTTGACGTGTGACTTTTTATTATTTTTTGCGTGCATGCAGGCACTGAAGTGGCTCAATACCAACCGCTGTGGTTCACGCAAGAGAAAGACGCGGACACAGGGGCGATGCTGTACAAGTTTAACAACAAGTACTGGGACTCCAAGGACAGACAAGATTGGTCCATGTGCCCGGATATTTATTGATAGTCGCCATTTCATCCGCACCAGTGTTTCGCTCCGAGTGCCTGAGATAATGGTTTTTATTTTAGGCTCGTCTTCTTTTTTTTTTTGATCGATTGGAGAGAGAGAGACAAATCTTGCTTCTGAATCAGTATCGTCGCGTGTTCTGGAGAGATTTTTTTTCTAGATGGACTGCATCTTATTTCCCGTTGCTTCTGCGAGGTTTGCTGGGTGGGATCGAATGGATGATGGTGTCACTTGGCAGAAAACCTTGTTGATAATTGACGAAATTTGGTCATCAAGTTACCTGAATTGATGGTTACTCTTGGCAGGAAACCCTTTTGATCTTGTCCAATGCTAGCCAATGTCCTTACAAGCTCAATTCGTCCATGGCACCCTTGTACTCGAGATTTAAACATTACTTAAGAGCCCTTCTTTATTGTAGTTGAGCAGTTTTTGGAACAGAAAGCATTAGTTGCCAGAGAGTAACTGTAGAATTCCTGACATTTGCACAAAGATGTGCACGCTGAATAGGAGGCATTCATATCCTGAAAAGATTGGCCTATATTCCTGGAGTAAGTGATTGAATGAGGTACCGAGAGATTATTTTGATTAAACCAGTATTCTTCAATATGTGGTTCACAGAAATCTTCAGTTGCCTTTTTTAATTTTTTCGTTTCTTTTATCCATCGAACTACATGTGTAGTCAAGTATGTTTCAATATTTTGCGCACTGTGCAGACAGCATTCCCTCATTTGCATGAGTTAGCTAAGAACAAATGCTGGAGTCCTTTTTTTGGGTTATGCGAGTACATTGGAGCGACATCTATCAGCATGTCTATCTCATGAAATATTCATTGTACTCTTGAAGCCAGTACTGTAATTGTATGATTTCAAGCTTTAATCTGTGACAGAAAACTGAAGATTATGACTCAGAACCACTCAAATTATTCATTACTGTATTTTATTTTTACCTTTTAAAACGCTTTTTGCGAAATATTTCAAATTTTATTTCGTTTATTTCTTTTTCTATTGTTTACTGCATTCAAGTTTGAAAGTAGCTGTATTCACAAATTCATACTTGAAAGCGAGAAGAAGCTCTGTAGATGAAAGTTTTGTCCATGAATGTCATGTACAAGATCCAATGCTTAAAAACGATTTCAGAAGCTGTTCTCAACAGTGTTTGCTGCCAATTGCCTCCATCATTGACGCAATTTTTTCCTAAGGCGTTCCTGCGAGATGTACAGCGTTTCCTTCAAGAAGGAATGGATCAGAATCGAAAAGATTAGATAAAAAGGGGAGTAATAATAGAGTCGCACCGATATTCGCATTGCAAAACAAATCTGCAAATGTCTGCGTGGGACTCGTTTTTCTATAATAGCGCTGTTATATTACGGAGAAATCGTGTGTCTCGCCGAATTTTCCCGACCGATTTTATTTCAGTATTCAAGTGTGAAAAGCCTGAGGGAAATTTTAATTGCACCGTTAAAAAAAGAATAGTAAACAGGACGGTCAGCTTTCACGTAAAATTCTGCATCCAATGGTGACATCTTTGGTGGAGTTCAAGAAGTGCTTGTTGCTGATTTTTTTCCCTGTTGCATCGCGAAGTGGATAAAGAAGAATTCAGTGGATTTGCTGGTCGACGTTATGTTGTGATACATATTTTAGTGTGGGGAAACTCATGAATTGAGATTTTAAGAATGCTAAAGGCGGAATGATTTCAGCAGAAACCTTTTCGTGTTGGGTGGGAACTGCGAAATAATTCGTTTTTGGTGATGATACGGTTACCATGCCATAATTGTCTCCTGTTTTTTTGTTTTGTTCTGCGGTTCTCTTATAGGTTCTCCTGCTCTATTGCTTATGCACCAATGTTCTTGCTTTGTTTCCTGTAGGTTTGATCAGGGTGTTCCCATGTTTTAATCTTTTGTTTTCAGGAAAGGGATTGAACTGTCATGACTGCTGGGAGCAGCATGTGGGATGGAATACACGAGTAATTTTTTTCGAAAATGTGTCTTCTCTTGGATTGGAATTTTTCTGTCCTGAAATTCTGGGGAACTTCAATGAATTTTTAATAGGTTGTTACTTCTCCAGGTTTTTCAGACAGTTTTATTGGGAACGTGACTCGTGCAAATGCGGTGCTGCCTAATTTCTGACTAGGATAATGTGATGGATTCTCTTCGTATATCAGGTTGACACAAAAAGTGACATTGCAATGAAAGTCCCATTTTCTGTCACTGATTTGACAGTAAAGCGCATTCAGTATTTGATGGTTGATTCAATTGCTAGGATTTTTTTAGAAACTGGTAGTTATGCTGATGGCAGAGAAAAACGGGGAAGGTGAGAACATTTTCATCACCTCAGAACAGTTCTTTGACGAAATGCATGTGTTCGTCACGTATGCACATACATTTCAAGAGCAATTGCAATGTGCACTTTTTTCCAATTCCATGCGGTATAATAATTACTGTATATGAATGAGCGTCGCAATTTTTTATGCTCTTCTGCTGGATGCTAAAATTGGCATTTCGCCAAATCCTGGAATGTGGAACGTCCCTGGTAAAATCAAGAGGCAAATATACCGGGGTACCTTCCATGTGCTACGTGGACAACTTTCATCACCTGTTGTTGCAATAGAATGTGTATGAGTCATTGTAGAAAAAAATGATTTGCTGAATCTCATTGTATTCTGGCTGCTGTAAATTGTGCTGCAGTAATCCTACATGTATGGTTTCTGTGGTTGAATTATTCAAGAACTCAAAACAGTGCTAAAGAACTGAGCATCACCATTTGTTAGATCCTGTTCAGAAATATGCTATGAATGTTCTATTAAATTGCAGGTATGGATCTTTCTTCAATTTATGGGTAAGAAAACAAGCCTGGACCTGTATTTTAAGAAGTTATGGTTAATGTAGTACGGTATAGTGTACAAGGAAACCTGCTTTTCTGAACTACTGTACTACACTGCACAGTATTTTGCTGGAAAGTCGCACTTAGCAGAACTTCTTGTTCAGTAACGTGTGGTGGCTCTCCTAATTGTTCAGTAACGTTCAGATTGGTCGGGGTTTCGGATTCGGCGGAGTGTCAGACGTGGACGTTAAATTCGTTTCTTTTAAAATAGCTACTTTCTCAAGCACCAATTTATAGTAGACGAATTTGAGACTTTGTCTAAGATTTTCTGTTTGTGCTTGTGTTATCTTTCAAGTTTTCGATATATGAGAATGGCGTGTTTGAATTGAATCGCTGACGTGATTGCTCTTACCCTGCTTTGGACGGAATTCCATTTTGGTGAAGTAACCTTTGTATTTTACAGATCCCTACCTCCTTGAATTTCGCTCACTTTTTAATCTTGACCTGTGTTGGACGCGGATAGTTTTGCGTTGTAAGTATTGTTGAACGAGGGGGGGTTCGTGATCTCTTCCTTTTCTGTGAACCGGCTATTGGACATTCGTTGGGTTTACGAATTTGAGTTCTTGCCTGGCTGCCGTAGATGTCAATGAGAGGACAAGGCCACGGTGAGCCATCCGAGGGTGATTTAATATTTTGTCAATATCTAAGGAACTTCCTCTTTGAATGTTCTAGTTTCCAACGGTCCAAAAGAATCCTTGGACAACGGAGACGACTTCACTTCATGGAGAGCACATCATCATCAGGTAAAACTCATCTATGCTCTTGTTTAGAATTTCGTCTGATTCATAGATTTCTCCTTATTTTCTTCTTGAACAGGGCTACAATCAACCAATGCCCCCGGCTGCCCCGATGAACGATCCGTACGGTTACTACGGAACTCCATTTTCCCCGTACCCACAGCACGCGGCTCAATTTCCTTCAAGTGATCACCACCACCACCACCACCATCACCATCAAAGCCCCGGTGGTGCAGCGTGGTCCAATGGTGACCCCTCCATGACCTTCCTTGGTGGCTACGGAGCTCAGCCTCCGATCGGCCCTGAGTCTTACCCTTTGGACGGGATGTTCGGTCCTTCAACCTTTGGCGGTTTCGGTCAACCGAACTTCGGTTATGGCTTTCCAGGTGAGTTGCACTTCCAATGTGAACCATATAGACTGGATCAGTTTTGAACATCCGTAGCTCTTGATTAGTATCGCCACCGCGAGGAAATGCGTTGAAATCAAAGCTATATCAGTTACGTTCCTTCGTAATGTTCAGTTTAATACCGGGCATAGTGTCTTGCATACTATAGGTGCGTTTCAACGACAGCTCGTTGCAAATTTTGGCTGCATAAAATGATTTTTTTATTCCTTAATTGCTTTTACCATATCAAAATACTGTACAAAGAATGAGCTAAATTTTCGACTTCAACTGATGATATCTTGTGTTTGTTCGTACGAAGGAAATGCGGAGTTTCATGGACAGTGGGGTGGGTTAAGCAGACCCAAGCCGTATGAAGATGTTTATTATCGTGAGCAGATGTATAATCCGCCTACGCATAATCCGCCCGTGGGAACTGCTCCTCCTCCAGAACTGGGTAAGTGTTATCTTTGACTTTTGTTTTCATTTTATTTTAGGCAAAACCCTGAAAATCAAATCCAGAAAGTGTCGATCTGGAAAAACGGAAAGGCACTGTTCGGGGATGTGATGTCAAGACTCTCTTGACCAAGTGACGAAAGATGAGCTAAACCTTGTAGATGAATTAGTGAATATAGCTGAACTTTTTTTTTCTGTTCCAGCCGAGTTTGAATTTAAGGGTTTTTTTTTCAAGTGATTTTAACGCGAATCCCAGAAATATGCGTAAGCAACCACTAGTTTTTGAGCTTCTCAAATAAAAAAAGAGGTGCTCATACTCGCGTAAGTTTTGTACATCAATCAATCCTATCGCGCTGATATCAGAAACCTTTTTACAGGTTTCTTATCCCATTTCGCATAAGATTCCAGCGTAAAGCATTTGTAATCATTGTACAACTTTATGACTGACGTTTGAAATGTATTTTTAGTGAATCATGTGGAATTAGAACGCAATGTGAGGCATATGGAGCACTCCATGGCAGATCTGAGTTTGAATGCGGCACCTCCCTGTGTGCAACCCGTGGCGACTTCCCCGACATTGGAGAACAAAGACAGGCAACAGCAACGGGGTCATGCTAACCAAAAAAAGACGACTTGGGCTTCGATAGCGAGTCAGCCAGCAAAACCACAGCCCAAAGGTCGTAAAGGAGGGAGTTCTTCTTCTCCTGGACTTCCGATTGGTAAGTTTGAAAGAGTTCTAAATTTATATTCTGATTTATGTTCACGGTAGCTGTGAAGTATTGGTCATCAAGTTCTGCCATTAAAGAATAAGGTCTGTTTCGTCGAGAGGAATGAAAAAAAATTTTGTGGCAACCATATTCTGAAGAAGAAACAGTTTTGATTTGAGAAATCTTGTGCTAGTGATCCTGAATTCAAGAGTCGTCCTGAAATAGCGCAAGTTGAGTATAACGTTTTCCGAATTAAGGTTTGAAAATGAAATTGATTTCAGCTTTGAAACTTACTTTGTACCCAAAAAATGCATGTACAGTATAAGTACATTACTGTGTTTGGAGAACATTCGAACCATCCGTTCGAGTTAAGTAGAAACAATAATTTTAGCACATGAAGTCGCTGATTTTTTATTTTCTTGTTGGATCGACGTTGAATCAATTTGTTACTCAAGGTTAGTTCGAAATGAAGTCGAAAGTTCATAATTGTTTAAATTTTATGAAATTGTCGATGGAGGCGACATCTGTCTGACTTTCCGTGCTGATACATTTGGCATAATTCGGTCATTCCCCCCAGAAAATTAGAGAAAAAAATGGTTCTCGTCTTGAAATTTTCGGACTTTCCCTTTGAAAAAAAAATTCTGTATTTTTCAGGGACATGGGAGTCAAAGAGCGGGAAACCAGGAGTGATTCCGCCCCCGCCGGCACCGAGGTCGTCAACTTGGTCGTCCCGAGCGCCGCCACCGATGCCGCAAGAGGAGACACCATCGCCAACATTTCCGATTGGAGGCTCCGCGACGGCGTTTCCGCCACCGCAAGCCGCCGTCAGTCCGAATGCTCCGATTCCTCCCCGACCAGCGACTCCTGATCAACTGGAACAACACCAACAACAACAGCATCAACAGCAACACCAACAAAAACAACATCAGCAACAGCCTCATCACCCGAATCGAAAAACGCAGCAACAGTCACCCGTGGAGAACCGAAATGAAGACGTAGAAGAAAAGTATTTCAATGGTCCGGAGTCTCACGAGGCCCGACACGCTATCCTAGATACGTTGCAGTCGAGGAATAATTACAATCCCAGTGAATTTGACATGAGTGCTGCCGTGAGTCCAGATTCAGCTATTCTATCATTTCTCCTTTGGAATCTTCTTCAGTGCAGTATTTCAAAAGAAAAAGGGAAAACATTCAGGAAGAATTGTCTTCTCAAGGGATTATTCTTCCATTTCTGTTAATCGCGGAGAATTAGAACGTATAATCAACGGGAAACTTATTTTGATGGGTTTCAGTAAAATCTCGTTACCATGACGCTTTTGGGACCTGGAAAAAAGCTTCGTTATATCGATACATATCTTTATGAAACGATTAACATAACATTATGGATATTGGAAGGGGACCAGAAAAACGAATTCGTAGTCGGCAATAATTTGGAATGACGAGATTCTAGTGTACTGCAGTATTTTCTTTGTTTGGCGGCGAGTTTTGTTGTTCTCATCGTCCAATCCAGTCCAGACTTTTTGTCCAATTACAGTACCATAAATGTGCAAAATTTATTTTTGAGGTACATTATTGTAAGTTGAGATCATAATCTACAAGAAAAGAAAAACCATGAAGCAGAAGGTCCTCGCTGTCACCTTTTACCAATCCGGCCCAGTTCTTGTCCCTGTTCATGAACAAAACTGAATTAGCCTTTGCAGTACTGTGTAATAATGGTGTTCTTTGGAATCTAATTTTACCTGTTGGGGAATGTTTTTGCAGGGAGCTCGATTTTTTGTGATAAAATCGTACTCGGAGGATGACATCCATCGGTCCATCAAGTACGAAATCTGGTGCTCGACGGAACACGGGAACAAGAGGCTGGACCAGGCGTTTAGAGAGCGGGAGAACAAAGGGCCCATCTACCTCTTCTTTTCCGTCAACAGCAGCGGCCACTTTTGTGGCATGGCCCAGATGATGTCTCAGGTCGACTACAATTCCTCCTCGTCCGTCTGGGCGCAGGACAAGTGGAAAGGCTCTTTCAAGGTACACTTGAAAACAGAAAAATCGCGAGTTGTGTTGTTTTCGAGCGTATTTTATCTTATGACGAATAGTACGTTAGTTTTCTGTCTCGAGCTTTTCTTGTTGGATTTGCATTACATTAATGAGAAATAGGCGTGATTGTTACAGAGTGAACTTCGACTGTGTTGAAATAACGAGAAAACATATGCAGATTTACTCTCTCTACGACGATCTTGTCTACAACTTTTTTCCCTGTACAAGGAACTCATTTTTTTTAAAGGTTCTCTCCTCGTGTTAAAGGTGTTCTCTAGGACGAATTTTTTCTGGTCCCTTGAATTTCGTTGGAGTCAACCTGAGAAAAAAAGGCTTCGAATCTTTGCGAAGGAATAAAATTTACCCGTCGCACTTCGGGATTTTCATGAATTTTATTTTTCAATGTCTCAGACGATTAAAAGAAATGGAATCCCTTTCCAAGATTGTTTTGACTATCGTTTTTGCTTCTTGGACGTTTTCAGGTGAGATGGATCTACGTGAAGGACGTTCCGAACGGGAAACTGCGACACATAAAGCTAGAGAACAACGAAAACAAGCCGGTGACGAACAGCAGGGACACTCAGGAAGTGCCGCACGACAAGGGCGTGCTGGTGTTGCGAGAGATGCACAATTACAAGCACACGACGTCCATCTTTGACGACTTTGTCCACTACGAACAGAGGCAGTTGGAGGAGGAGGAACGGCGCCTGTCTGTCACGCCGTTGATGCATTTGCAGACGGCACCGCCGCCTTCGTCATCGTCGTCTCAGCCGCCGCCGGCGCATGGCAAAGGTCGACGTGGAAATGCCGACAGTCATCACAATGTGAGATTCTTCACGGCGCTTGATTTTTTAAACGTATCGCTTTTTTTTTAATGAGGGACGCAAATTGTAAGTTTGAATATGGTATTCAGAGTATTTCCCTCTGAAAGAACTGAACCTTCGCAATCTGAAGAAAAATGAATCCTGAAATCATGGGGATGAATTTTTCCTATTTTGAACAAGTATTTTAATTGTTCCAAAATGCAGTCGAACTTCATGGGACTAGCAAAAAAATAATTTTTGTTGTGAGGGAGAAAGAAGAACTGAGGATCATTGGAATATTCTGGGCCTCAATTGCTCCTTGAATGAGTTGACAGGATACTAAACTTGGAGGTTCAAATCTTCGCCTCCTTTCAAAACACATCTTTAAATTTGTATTGCTTTTCTCTTCGTGTGTCAATAAAATAATAGGCGAATGCCTTCTGAAAATTTGATTTATGAAGGTTTAAGGGAAAGCCTTCGAGTTCCGAAAGGCTTCAAGTTCCTTGTTTCTAAGGGAATTCCGACAGGGACTTGAAAAGATTCGACGTGGGTAGGCGTTTGACTGAAGAAGGTTCGAGTTATCAAGGTTGAAGTGTATTACTTTTTCGTCTGACAAGCTTCAACGAATCCATCTTTCTTCGGGAATATTTCTCAGGATGAGGTGGGAGGCGGAAGGAATGAAAGACGAAGAAGGGAGGATTATAGGGATTCACGAGAGCCCAGAGACCATCAGAATCCGCATCAGCAGCACCGAGATCATCGAGACAGCTACCAACAGCAGCCAAGGGAACACCACAACCGTGATCGGGATTTCGGCCGGAATCGAGACGTGAACTACGACTCGAGAAACGGCCACAATTCGCACCGTGTTCCTCTCAGTCGCTAGAAAAAAAAATTTGACGTGGGGGAAAAACACTGAAATTTGAAGTGTTGACGGTAAGAAAAAGGGGTGAAGAAAAAAAAAAGAGGACTAGGTGTTTTATCGAACGGATGAAGGGACGGGGAAGAGAGCTGCGGAAGTTATCGTCGTGGTGAGATCTGAAAAGTATGAATTGGTGTGACATCGTAACCTTTCCCAGGACAATTAATTTGTAAAGCATTGAAATATCTGGGCAAGCGTAAGCTGAAAAGTTCTTCGGAAGACGTTTGTCTAAGAGAGTGGGAAATTTCAGTGTTTGATGGAAATGTATCGCACTGTTTTAGGCTTCCAGCCGGAAAAAATGTACTGTAATAGGAAATCACAAACGGTTCATTCCGCGAGTATTCTGACGAAGTTGAAACGACATTTTATAAAGGGGATTTTCGCTTGCTTTTCTTGAAATTTTCGAAAGTTTCGTAGTTGAATTCCAGAATTTTAATCAGACAACAATAACAATGTGACAGTAATCCTTCCATTATAAAGCCACTGTGTATGTTTCCTCAGAAATCAGACCTGATATTCCTTGGAATAGTTTTTTTAATGTAGCAACATTTTAATTTTATGATCAGTTTTCAATTTTAGCTGAAAAGATTCAATACTCTGAAGGACGGGATCGCGGGAATTATTTCCAACCCTCGTGACGTCATGGCTGAAATGTTCAAGCTCCTTTTTTATATACTGTAATTCAAAAATTACTATTTTAGTCTCCATTTTTCAGTGAGTATAGATCAACGAAATTTGAATTCCACTGAGGGCTTCTGTTGAATAAATGGAACAAACGATAATTTTAGGGAAACTTTTACTGTACTGTACTTGGAAAAAAATATCACTGTAAATGTGTGTTGTTTTAGAGGAATTTTTTGTCTTGAGCTTCCTTCCGCTTTTCCCTGTGGGAGAATCCGAGGGATTTTTCAGGTTCTGAATTCCTGAAATGAACAATTGATATTCACTTTTTCTGCGTGTGTATTAAAAAAATAGTAGCTTTTTTTGTCGGACAAGTGAATGCCTGGGAAGGTTACAATGTCAAAAGAAGAAATCCATTCGTTTTTGTTCATTATTTGAGGCCGGGTTGACCCCCAAACTTGTGATAAAGAAGTCCCCAGCCTCATACTCTTACTTTTTCGTTTATTTTGAGGAATAGTTCCAAGAAACGCGGCCATGTTGTTTCTCTTTTTACCAAATTAAGGTTGTCAAGACGTCTGATTCCCCCCACTTTTTTTTTTGTCCGAGAAATTCGAACGGAAATTTTGAAAAAGAAAATCAGACTGGGAACAACATGGTCATGTTTGTAATTGTCAAGATCCTCTCAAGTTTTATTTTTGTCGACTTATGTTGGCAAGTCTGTGAAGACAACTTTTGGAAAGATGGACAAGTGGAAGACGTGTATAAACAATGTGAACCGTGTAGAGAAAGCAAATGTGAGAGAAAATAATGAAGAAAAAAACACGGTAGTTGTTGGATTCGAGAAGAAGAAAAAAACGGATTTTGTCTTGGATTTTAATCCGTCTTGTTGACTTTAGTTTTATTTGTTTGGACGAGGAAGAGAAAGACTGAGCGACACGCGGAAGCAAATCGACTAACATTTTTCTTTTTTGTGTTAGACACAAGCCATGGTAAAGTTTAAGGACTTTTTGCCGGGAATTTTTTTTTTTTTGGTGTTTGGAGGAGAAAAATTGCTGGAAATTTTAGTGATTGATTGATTCATTTCCTCTTTCCTTCCTGTGGAATGATGAGATTTTTTTGTTCTCGTTTTGAGGGGAGAGGAATCAAATGTTGCGAAGAGCGCTCTTCGTCTCTGTATTTGGCAGAAGGAAGAAAAGAATTGCCCATGTTTTGAGGGTGAACTGGAAAACGATCGTGTTTGTAGTTTTTGGTTGTTGAAATCAGAAAAACCAGCCGGGGTTTGAATTTTTTCAAACCTTTCCTCCGGAAATTGAGGAAGTCGCGGCTATTTGTTTTCGTTTTAAAATTTCGAAAATTCTCATGATGCTTCCTCTTTCAAATCCATGTTTTTTTTCTCTTAATTTTTTTTCTCAGTGTGTCTTAGTGTTGTACAAAATATGGAATCCTTGGATCCATCCAGCATGATTCACTCTCACAGGGTGTAAGTATTCCTTCAATGTCACTGATGGAATTTATATTGTGAAAGTTATGTTCCATGTTTCCGCTGAAAAATTCATTGAATTCAGGTTCAATTCATGTTGAAATTCAAAGTCCAGTGTGTCTAATTTTTGAAATATTGCAGTGTTTCAGTCAATAAAAATGGGGTGGAGTCTAATATTTGCTCATGTACCATGTGCTCCTTTTTCTCAAAATTGAGCACAAAACTTTTTTTGCATTTCATGTATGGGTACAAAATTGAACTTTTGAAAGTTTATTTGTACATCATACTTCATTTCAATGGGAAATTTTGAACCGATTTTAAATGAAAAAAAGATTATGGAAATTATTGTAAGTTGATTAAATCCATGTCCAAATTCAATTTCTGGTGTGTAATTTTTTAGAATTTGCAGTTTTCCTGTCACTAAAAGTAGGGTGCGTGTCTTACTGGGGATAGGATTTTATTAGAAATTTAGGCTGTACTCCAGATGCGCACATACATCACTGAAGGGTGTGTGGTAATACTGTTGATTAATTCCAGTAATTTATGGGTAACAAAGAAGACCAAAATTATGAATCTCCTGATTTTTAGCGGTTTCAGGAAAACTTAGTGATCCCAAATTCAAATTCCCAGAAATTTTCAGATAAAAAAAATGCAAATGTTATATACAGGTTATGCTGTGATTGCGGGAAAGCCATTGAGCCAAATTCTGCCAACATGTGCGTGGAATGCATCAGGAGCCGAGTGGACATCACGGAACACATCCCCAAACAGAGCAATCTCCAGTTTTGCAAATTCTGCGAACGCTATTTGAACCCACCGAACACTTGGATGGTGTGTCCGCCTGAATCACGAGAGCTGTTGACATTGTGTCTCAAACGCCTGAGGGCTTTGACGAGTGTGCGACTGATTGACGCCAGTTTTGTCTGGACAGAGCCTCATTCCAAGAGGATCATTGTCAAGTTGGTTGTGCAGAAGGAAGTTTTTGGCGGTGCGGTTTTGCAGCAAGTGTTTAACGTCGAGTATGTGGTCAACAACCAGATGTGCGATGAATGCAGGCGTGTGGAAAACAAGGATTTCTGGAAAGCCAGTGTGCAGGTAAATGGAAGGAGAAGTTTCTTGCATGGGGGGGATCAGTCACAATTTTTTCTTTAGTTTTCCCTTGTAGCGAATCACCTTGAAACTTGGGTGCAAAAAGTAGAATTCCGCAATTAACACACGACGTTGAATTTCTCTGTGGAAGCTCTAACTAAGAATTTTCATTGTTTCGCATTGAAATAGTCCTTGTAAGAGTGTATCTTTGAACGTGTTTGAACGTATATTAAATTTATTGGACAAAACGCACGTCTACAGTATTATCTTTTTTGGTGGAAATTTTTGGAAAATTCCTTTCGGTTGGAACTTTTTTTTTTTCTAGTATTTTGATAAAAATCTTAAATCGCTCATCAATTTTTTTTCCTGGGAATTTTACAGCTATGTCTAAAAAGATGGAAGAAATTGAAGTGCAGTATTGTCATTTTGTCAATGTCAATTTTTGATGAAAATAGTTTCGCTTACAACATTGCTGTTTCACAGAAATTATATTCTGAAAATTTCTCGGAAAATATTTCACTTGATTGAATTTTTTCGTTGCGTAGATGACTGTTCTAGCTTGTCGTGTACGGTAATTTCGAACCAATGCTAATGTATGTCACGCATTAAATCGTGTAAATTTTTTGATGTTTCAAACTTTCAATTTAAAATATTCTTTCTTGAAGGTGCGGCAAAAGACTCATCACAAGAAAACCCTGTACTACTTGGAGCAACTGATTTTGAAGACAAGTTCTCACTCAGATTGCGTTGGGATCAATCCAGTAGCTGGTGGAATCGACTTTTTCTTCGCCACAGAAAACCAGGCGCGGAAGATGGTGGACTTTTTGCTCACAGCTGTCCCTTGCAAGTACAACCACTCGAAGAAACTAATATCTCACGACATCCATTCCAACACATACAATTACAAATACACTTATTGGTGAGGTAGATTCATGTTGTTTTTTGTTGTTAGAATAATAATTCTTCGTTTTTTCTCCTCCTTCGACAGTGTGGATATCGTGCCTTCATGTAGATTGGATGTGGTTTGTTTACCACCTGCTGTTGCCAAAAGCTGTGGGAGCATGAACCAAATAGTTCTGGTAAACCGAGTGAACAATGTTATTCATCTGATTGATCCGCAAACTGCTCAGAGTAAGTTGGAATTTTAAAATCTTTTCAAATCTGCACTTGATCTTCTTTTTCATTTAAATTATCCCCTTTTTTATTTGCGGTTGACTTCGACGTTCCCTTGAACATTAAAGAGGAACTCTTAAATTTCTTCCTGCGAAATTCTTTTGACAAATTCTTTAATAAGAAAATATTACTGAGAAAAAAATAACTACGGTACGCTCAGGATAGAGGAAAACGATGTGCAATGCAATTGTCAAATGAAAAAATTTATTTACGCGAAACATGCTGCGGGCAGCTGAATTTTCTTCGTAAACTAACGATTTGTAACGTACCCTATTTCTGCAAAGCAAAATTCATGCGCACTCCTAGTCTGTTGGGCTAAAAAGACAGTGAAGGAAACTTTAATTATCTTGGGTGCAGTTTTATTTATTTTTCTTAAATGTTGGGGTAATTTTTTATTCTCTAGTAGTTGACGTTTTGCTTTGCCTTCAGCATTGTAAAATATGATTTTTTTCTGCAAGAATGAATGATAGATTTTAACGTGACACATTCGCATGACAGTATTTTATTTTTTTCAGTTGGGATAGTGAACGGAGCATCATACTACAGGAGCCCCTTTGGGACACTGTGCTCAGCTAAACAGTTGGTGGAATACGTGGTCATGGATGTGGAGTTGCTGCAGTTCAGTGACTTGCCAACAGCTGCTGGGTTGGGCAAATGTTCAGGTAGTCACGCCGTGGCCGACGTTTTTGTGGTCAGGTCGAATGAGTTGGGCCTGGCTGAACCCCTGCACATTAGATCCCATTTGGGCAGCATTTTGAAACCCGGGGACACGGTTTTGGGGTGAGTTCTTTTTTTTTTTTTAAGGATTCTTTCACCTTTGAAGAATGAAAGGATAATTCTGCAGCACACGTCACTTCCTTTCAAAACACATCAAATTACTTTTTTATTGCTTTTCTCTTTCCCGTGTCTAGAAAATAATAGCCGAAAGCCCTCAGAAAATTTGAGTTACAGAGGTTCGAGAAGAATTGCTTCCTCATGTGAAGAGGTTTTTGATGCATTGTTTCTAAGGGAATTTTTAAAAAAGATACCCGTTCGAAAAGCGTTAATTATTTCCCTTTTTCCATTTTCCAGTTATGATTTGAAAAATGCCAACGTCAACGACCCACATTTTGACAAGATGAATCCCGACAAAATACCGAGTGTTGTACTGGTGAAGAAAGTCTATGCGTCTGATGCGACGAAAGGGAGTAGAAGAGCCTGGAAACTCAAGCGTCTGCAAGAAGCTGAAACTGCTAGTGTTGGCAGCAGTGGAATGGACCAGTGAGTTTCTTTTTACGTTTTCTCACATTTTTAGAAGTTGAAATCTGAGTTTGATTTGAATAATTGACCTTGATGTTCTTTTTTTTGTGTTCCAGGGACTTCGTGGATTTCATGGATGACCTGGAAGCAGACCCAGTGATGCGACAAGGGGTCAACATTTACAAGAACCCGAAATTCAAGCCTCGAGAAAAGCCAAGTGTAGTTGAAGGGGATGAGGAACAAGGTCCTACCATCAGTCTTGAAGAAATGCTGGATGAACTCACGTTGGATGATGATCCCATGGGGCAATGAACGTTTTTTTGCGGGATAAATGGTCGCTATTGGGATTTCGTGGATGGTTTCTTGTTCCAGTTGTGATTTTTACCTGGCTTTCATTCAAGTTTCTTGCGTTACAGAGGCTGTGAATTTGGGTGCTGTTGAAAGTGTGAGGCGAGTTTTTTGTTTGTTTTTTTGGTTGTGCCATGTCTGGGGATGTGCAGCCTAAGCGTCGGAAGGACAAGGACAAAAAGAAGAAAAAAGGTGAGGTATTTTCAGTAAGGAAAAAAATATGTATATTTTTTTCTCACGAAAAATTTGCCGACAATTTTGTGGGACGGAAGGTGACCGCTTTTCGTCCGCTTTGCCATTGATTTTTTTGTGAATAGCTCAGCCGGAGGGTTCCACTGATGATATGGGCTCCGAAGACCCCGTGAAGCAGTTTCTTATTGTTGATGGTAATTCATCGAAAGCATTCTTTTTACGCTAGTTGAAAGAATCCTTGGCTTTTTTTCTCTGCATGTGTGTTTTTACCCCCGTCTGTGATTCATATTTTGAAAAACACGCATGGATTGTCTTGGTATATTCTAGTTTTTTTTTCTGGGAATGAAGACTACATTATTCGATGCTCCTGTTCCAGATGAAGATGGAGGGGATTTGCCACCAGGGGGAGACTCATCTCACGAAGTTCACGATGATCATCATGGGCACGGAAGTGCTTCCATGTGTGGTAGAATTGTCTTCCTGACACTGTTTGTTGCCCTTCTTGTTGGTGTCTTTGCTGTCTTTTGCGAAAGCTGGGGAAAATCCAACACTGAAGGTACAGTACTTATTTCTCACCCCAAATTTTTTCTGTTTTAATTTTTGGGGCATGCAACTGTGTAATTTAAAGAGGGAAATCCTTCTGTTGACGATTTAGACTGAAAAATATTGGTTTCAAGTTTGAAAATCATTTATCTTTTCAGTGTCAATAAAAGAGTCAAGGTTCGCAGAACTCTTCAGAGGCTTCGTGGAGGACGTGGACGAACACGAGCACGAGGACGATCATTTGCCTCATGCATCACACGACGACGATGAAGAAGAAGGAGAAGAGGAAAGTAGTCACCAGCCTTGGCAAGAAGAGGTTCGTTCTGCGCAGCAAACTCGGTCTGCGACCACAGACCCTCCTGTGCCTGAGCCTGAAGTTGAGCCCTCGACGATCCTCGCTGGTGTGACCGAGTCCAGATTAGCTGCAGACGCTAAAACTCATTTTGATGGGTTGCGAACTGAACCCCTTGATGCTTCGTCCAGCATGGGAATGAAGAGTGTGGTTGAGAGTAGTGAGAAAAAGGTTGAGCCCGAGGCTGTGCAAGGGCAGGCGACTGAGCTCCTGAAAACTGTGCAAGTGGAGCTCAGCTCGTCTACTCTGGGACGTGATGTGCCTTCTTACCTAACCCTTGAGGTGATTTTTGTCACGTAGACTAACTTTTCATTCAGTTTTGAACTCTTGGAAAGAACTTTATTAAAATTCGTAAAGTATTTTTTTTTTACTTCATCTTGTGAATTACTGTATGTCTGCTATTTTTCCGAACCTTATTTTCAGAATTACCGTATTTACTTGTGTACCACGTGCCCTTGAGTAACATTTGGCTGCGGATTTTCAAGTTGAAATTTTTGATGAAATCATACCGAAAATTTTCAATCCTAAATTTGAATTTAGACATGAATTGAACCCTAATTCAACTACAGTAATTTTCAATCGTTGTCCATTAAAATATGTTTCCCTATTGAACTTATTCCAAAATTTCCGATTAGAATCAAGAATAATTGACACCTAAATTGCTGAAACTTAAAAAATATATATACAGTACAGTATATATATATATATATATATATATATATATATTCACTCACTTTTTTTAAAAGAGGGGGTGAGCGACTTATGCAGGCAGAGTTTATATATATATATATATATATACTTTACTCTGCCTGCATAAGTCGCTCACCCCCTCTTTTTCCTAATACCTGTAAATTTAAAAAAAGTGAGTTTGGTACTCGAGTAAATACAGCAATTTTGAATGTGTTGATTGTGTTGTTTATGTTTTCCTAATTTATATAGAGAATGATTTCAGTTGCATGATTGCTCAACCACTATCTTCCTTTGTTTTGCTCCCTTATTTATCATCCACTGTGCATTCCTTTTTACATATTTTTTTCTTGTCAGACTTCTGGAGAGATTCATGCGGAGGATGATGACTCGTTACTCAGCTATTTGTCGAGTTCCAGTGTTCCTCCAGAGCCAGTGGATGAGCCCTTGTTCACTCAGTCCACGTGGCCTTTATCTGGAACTGAGCCCGAAGTTCTAGAATCTGTGGAGAAATTACCAGAGGAACAGGTTGATGATCAACCTGTGGAGCAAGTTAACGAGCAACAAAGTGATGAAGGGTATGAATCAGATCGAGAATCACCACCTGAACACCCTGATGTTCATTTTGAACAGTCTGACGAAGGTGAGCTGGTTTCTCTCGTTGTTGTTGCTTTCTCCTGGAAAGATGATCAGCAGTATTGAAACTTTTGGCGTGAACCTCCCTTGATTTATCGTAAACCCTGCGTATTTTGAATGTATTTCGCTGTGGTCGAAATTTTTCTGAAGCTCTGGTTGTCTATTAGGTGCTGAATTGATATAAATTCCCGCCGACCCGAATTCTTATCTTTGCAGTGGTAAACAAATTTCTGGTCACAATGTCACTCCTGGTTATCCTGCACATCTTTCTGGTTGTTCTGGGTATGAGGGAAGTTTGAGGATGTGTGTTTTTTTTTTGTGTTGAAACCCCCCTTGCTTCAGTCGTTTTTTTTGTGTTTTTTTTCTTAAAAAAAATGTGCGTTAACGTTGGCTTTAATTAACTTTTAAGGAATTTAGCGACTTGAAATATTCGAGTTTTGTATTTTTCATGTCTTTTCTATTAGTTATTGAGAAGCATGTGCCCACTGTTCAAGCTCCACCGGTTATTGAAATCAGTGAAGCTGTGGATGAAGTTGAGCATGTTGAGGAACCGAAACCTGTTGTGGAAGAACCGGAAATTGAGCATGTTGAGCAAGTGGAATTTGATAAACCTGAGCCTCACCAAGAGGCAAAAAATGTTGAAGACCCGGCAGTTTCAGTTGTGGAACACAGGGTTATTGAACCGAAAGAAGTTCCGGAGAAGCATGTTGAGCCGCTGGAACACATAGAAATTGAGCATGTTTCTGTTGAAGAACCGCAGATTGTTGACAACGTTCTTCCGCAAGTTGAGGAGAACGTTGTCGAACATGAACCTGTCCTTCAGGATTTGAATGGTCTGTTTTGGTTGTTTTTTTTGTATTCGTTTTTCCTTTTCTTTATTTTTTTGCAAACCCTTCGTCACGCAAATATTTTTTTTTTTAATAATCTGTCGAACTACAAATTTTGTTTTGGCCAACTTTTTAATTTCGCTCTTATTTAGTCCCGAACCTCTAGTCCAGTCACTTACATAAATGAGCTTTTTGTGTGAACGATAGGTGTCACTGCTGCATGTCCTTCCACGAAAGTTGAATACAGTATTGAGCCATATGAAAGATGCTGACTTTGAAGCTCTTGAAAATGGCATAACATAGTGAACCAAGCATAATTAATGAAACTAACAAACTTACCCCTGATAATTTTTTTCTACTGCGCAAGTCCTGCATTTATCTCTCGAAAAATGAGGTTCGAAAACTGGTAGTTCGACGAGTTTTGACTTTTGAACTGATAGTGATGATCATTTTTCTTCGAAATTTTTGAAAAATTTTTCCTGAAGATTATTTGAAAAATATTATTCATTTCTGGAGTTTCAAATGTGTAGTATTTATCCTGTTGAATTGATTTTTCGTTTGATTTTTAGATTTCATAATTTTCAGAACTTTCAATTTTTCAAACATTAGATTTTGGTTTGCTTCATTATCCCTGCTCGAATGGAAAAACATCGAACGTTCAAAAATATTTTCATTGGGTATTATGTATTATGAGAATTCGTCGTCCTCAGCGTATGAAGTCAGGATCCTTGGAAATTTTGTGAATTGGACAAAAAATCTGCACTGTATCGTGATTATGATAGTGTTATAACCGTGCAACTTGCGAGAATTAATCATGCATGAACATTTTCATAGACTTGACGCCTAGCACTTGAAGTTATTTTGTAGTACGGTAGTATCATGTAGTAGTGCCTTTTTTTCGAATATTGTACCTGCTTTCGAATGATTAATCAAGTAAAAAATACTTGAGCTTTGATTTTTTGAAGTCAGGGATTGAAATTATGCTGTCGTATCAAATTGAAATTTATTTCCTGTCAATCTCTTATTTTAGGAATCTTTATAGTCCCTGTGTGTCAAAAACTCATCCCACTATTATTACGGTTCGTCTAGAAATCCCAGAAGTTCCAGCAAGATCAGTTGAAGCTTCTGTGGAGGAAGAAAAGTCTCCTGTGCATTCTCCAGAACCGGAACGTGTTGTCATTGAACCGGAACTAGATCAACACGCTCAAGTTGAAGAAAGAACGGAAGTCCCTTCTCTGGAACCGGAACCTTTAGTGGAGGAACCGGAAATTGAACCCAGGGAGAGTCCGTGGGATCGATACGAATTCAGAGACATCACCAATGAGGATGACTTTGAAGTTCGAGAAGAACTCGACGAACTTGATCGTTTGTACGCTCAGGTATGTTTTTTTTTTCTACTGTTCGAATAGGGTGTCTTGATGAATGGTCAAAGCAAGAGTGAGGCTTTTTGGATCATTTCCTGTCTTCTGACGTTTGTTCTCTTCACGATTAGTGCATCTATGGATGATCCAAGAGCTGATTTTTCAAGGATTTCGTGTGAGGATTATGTAATCAAGTTTCTTAAAATTAAACGGAGCTTTCCCCAGTGATTACTCCTAATTTATCTCTTGTTAGTGAGTTTTATTGAAGATTTTTAATTTGCAATTTCGAGCTAAACGACGAAGAAAGTCGTCATTTCGATTGCTTTAATTAATGCGAGAGAGCTGAGAAAAGTGTTCGAAACAATAAAAGATATTTTAATATTGAAAAAAATTTTATTGTTCCACAATTTTCCTGCTGTGTCGAATTTTGATCTTCAATCGACAAGATTTGTTCTTGTTTTTGTTGCGAAAGATTTTATTACAGTATTCATAGTATCAACTCAATTCTTCAAGATTTTATGAAAATCACTGTCTTCTCAATCTTTGCTTCAAAGTGAATACCGGACTAAAAACAACTGATGGTTGAAAAAGGCCTTTGTCTGAAAATTCGTTCGATTGAACAATTTTATGAAAATCGCTTTTTGGAATTTTTTGTTTTGCTTTGAAAACAGGACGAGCTGTACCAAGATCACTAATTCAAGCTGCTTGTTGTGAAACCGTAGGAATAATCGAAGTACTAGTTGTTTTAACATTTTTCCACCCTACCTAAAAATTGTACTCCGATTTGTTCTTGGCTAAGTTTTTTGAGAAACGCTTGTCCCTTTTTTACCGCATATATTTTGCTGTGAGGTGAAATGTTCCACCGATTTCCAGACCAGAGTCTTTCAGCAGTTTCAGAGGCATTGTTTTTTGTTTTGTTTTGTTTGCTTGTGTGGAATGAATGAGGCTGTTCCTGGCATGAAAAGAAATGGCAAGAAACCCGCGCAAAAACAATTACCATTTCTTTTCATTCCCAGGACGAAAAAAAAAATTGCCTGAAGGTTTTCAGCGTTTGTGGCTTTGCCGTGTTTGCATGTGCAATATCGTAATTCCTAGTGTTGTTTGCATGTTTTGATTAACAAAAAATCAAACAAAAAAAGGCGAAAGAAGGACCGGAGCTGAGGAAAGTGATGGAGAAGTTTCAAGAGATCCTGAAGAAGAAACCCCATTCCCCGAGAAGCATGTTTATGATTGGACTTTGTTTGGACCGCTTGGCCTTCTACGAGAAGAGCAATGCTTTGTTGGATGAGTCCATTACTATCATGACGAAAGCCGTCACCTTGGGGCCTTACGTGCCTGATGAATTGGCCAGGAGAATTCTCCGGACTCTGTATGACAAGATGAAATTCAGAGGTGATGTTTTATCTTCTCGGTGAAAAGTCTCGCCAGATTTCAGTTCGACTTGATTGAAATCTATGATCGTAATCCACCTGAAAACTTTTAATTCTTCGATGCTTGGAGTCTTTGATTTATTGAATCACCTCAATTTGTTGAATCTACTGGGATCTGGAATTGTTGATGGATTAGAGATTTATAACAATTGTTGAAAATTTCAAGATTTAGGACAAAGTTTGATTTTGAAATATTTCGAGAATAATTTTGGACCATGTTATGTTTGATAATGAAGTATTTCAAGAATAATTTTGGACAAGGTGTGATTCTGAAACATTTGAAGAATAATATGCAGTATTTTTAAATTTCGAAGCGTTTCAATATTCTACTATGCTAAATTTAAAGATTCTTTTTAAATTCTGACTGGTTTGGAGATTCTGAACGATAAAATTGCTGATACAACTAGTAAACATGTGTGAAGCATGAAGGAAGAAAATTTAAAAATTTGTACATGTCTCATTTTTCAGGACACATCTTCAAGGGAATTCCAATTTTACTGAAAGCTGTGGAAAGGTTTCCCAATGAGAGGGAATGGAGGCATTACTTGATTGTCGCCTACTTGACCCTGGGAAGAAATGATGATGCCCGGTTGATTCTGCAGGAGTCTTTGAGAACCTGGCCTGACGATGGCTTTGCAAAAGTTCACTATGGATTTTTGCTGAAACTAGTGGACAAGAATTACAAAGCAGGTACAGTGTAAAAGCAAAAGGTCCTCTTTTTCTCCTTCGATAGCGTTTTTTAATCGTGGGGAATAATGTTTTAATTTATTGCGCAAGGGTCTGAATAATGCAGTGACTCGGTTAACGTACTTTTCTCCGCTATGATACCTTGCTAATCACGAAGAAATTATTTTCTTTTGTGATTGAAGAAGGAAAATGCTGACGCATGATTTTGTCGATGTCACCAGCACAGCTTTTATGTGCAATTCTTTTTAAACAATAAATTGTTCGAAAGATGAACCTGTCACTTGAAAAATGTCTTCCGTGAGCTTCAAGTTTTCTCACTTCTTTTAGCTTAGTTTATTGAACAGTTTGTAAAACTGTGTTTTTTTGAGCACCCTCAAGCAAGATGCGCAAATGGATCCTTCAGCTAAAAATTTTGATACATCCTATCCCCAGATATGATGAAAAACCCATTCTTTAATTATCAGAAATCAAGAATATTTCAAAAATAAGAGACGCCAGACTCTTTATTTAAACATGAATTCAACGTAAATTCAATTATTTTTGAATTCTTCTGATTTTTTTATTCCTCGGCATTTTTTTCTTATTGAATCGAGTCCGACTGGCACCTATGGTTTAGAAATTTTCTCAAATATTTCAACCACAGTAGAATCTTGTTATAACAAATTATCGGCTGCGGCTAATTCGTTTCTTGGCGATCCCTCAATAGTGAAAATGTTATTTGAGTTTATTTGGAACGAAGCTTTTATCTTGAGGAAGCTATTTTTTCACTGACCGGAATGGCTTCCTTGTAATGAGATTTTACTACACTTTTTTTTTTTTTTTGCAGCTGCGAGATATATGCAAGATGGAATAGACACCAGAGACCCCGGAACATTGGATGGTCGCTTTTTCTACCATCTTGGAGACGCGTACATGCGATTGGGGAATGCGGAGAAGGAAGCAGCTATTTACAAGCAGGGAAAGAAGGAGGGTTTGTTTCTGTCTGAGATGCAGAGATCGTTGCACAATGTGGACAGATTGACGGGAAGGCCCTGGTGGACCAAGGAACAAACTGGATACAAGCAGGACTTGGAGTGAGTGGAATCCCGTTGGAATCTGATTTTCGGAATATTGTAAATTGAATACAGTACTGCACCCGTATTACACATTGGCCGCCATTTTGGCGGCTGTGAAGGCGGCTGTTTTTGAAATCAACTCGACTTTCTTTTTAAGGGTTGCCTCCCTTAAAGCAACCCTTAAAAACCTGGAGGCAACCCTTAAAAAGAATGTCGAGTTGATTTCAAAAATTCTGAGGGGAAAGCTGGGCTACAACAAAAAAAGGGCGCCTCATCTTTTGAGTGGAGAGCAAAACTCTATTAGGATGAATTTAGCAAAATTAAAAAAGGGCGCCTCATCTTTTGAGTGGAGAGCAAAACTCTATATGGATGAATTTTGCAAAATTAAAAAAAAAAAAAATTGTCAAACCGGCTGATTTTTTTTGTGTGCCAAAGAATATGTTTCCGCTAGAGATTAAATTTTTTTCAGCTCAATTGTATGCCATTTTCATTGCTACTCCGAGAACTTTTGTTAGAACCCTCGTATATGTATATCCGGTGTATTATATATACTGTTCAGTGTTTATATTGCATTACATATTGAAGAATTGACCCCTTTCCCCCTAGTGTGTCACTCGTTTTTGACGCGTGTTTCGTACATTTTCATGGAATTTTCCGACTTCCCGTGGAGTTGAAATGGGTTTCGCGGAATTCTAAGTCTTTGTTTCGCTTCTGTTCTGAAAGATTTCACGTTTCTTGGCAAATGGAAAATCGAAAAAAATATGAATTTCGGATATATTTGAAGCAAATATAAATTTTAAAAAAGGAGAATCGAGGCAGGCTGTGTTACAAGAATAAATTTGTAATTTTCAGTTCAAAATCTAGACCAGGAGGATTTTTTCGTTACGATTTCATCCAATATTTCAAGCTTCAGGGATTTCATTTTCAATGCGAAGTTGTTTCCGGCTAACTCAACATCTCATCTATAATTGCCACTTATCCAAGAACCCTGTGAATTTTCCGTTCGTGTGGCAAAACTTTTTCATCGAATTTTTCCTTTCGTGATGCAGTAAAATGTCTGCCGAATGGAGAATAATTCGAAAGGAGGGATTGAATGCTTTGGCGCTGAAGAAGAATGGATTCAAAGACGAAAGTGAAACTCTGAAGGACAAAGGAGACTGGAAAGAATTCATGCTTTGGGCCAGAGGTGAGTTTCTACTCTTTCTTGACTCTTGAGTGCTAGTGGAAGGTTTAAATGCAGCTTCGGTATTTATGAAATCTTGAGTAAGTCGTCTGGCTCCAAAAAATATAGTACAGTATTCATGTGTTTGATTTTACAGGAAAGAAGGTGGAAGAAAACTGCAAGAAGGCTCCATTGACTTGCGGTATGGTTGAGAAATTCAAAGCAGCGTCCAGCTGCAAGCAAGGACAGGTGAAGTTTAGCGTCATGAAGCCTGGGACTCATGTGTGGGCCCACACTGGGCCAACCAACGCGAGGATCAGGGCCCACTTGGGTCTTGCCGGTGTTCCTGGTGCGAAAATCCGGGTTGGGAATGAAACCAGGTGAACATGAGTCTACTGTAGTGTTGGGAAAATTCTTCGAAAACTCTAAAATTTGAGGACGAATCAAGAGAAAGGACGATTTTCAGACAGCGAAAATTTAAGACCGGAAAATTATAATTATTCCAACTTCTCTATTTTTTTACCTAATCAAGTACCTGATGGCAGAAGAAGAGTATGGCCAAAATCAATAAATTCCGTCTTTCTCAAATTGTATTGTCCCTATGATGGAAACTTGGAATATGGACGATTTGAGAACAAATCAAGAGAATGAGGAATTTGAGACGGTGTCAATTTCAGACAGTAAAATTAGTATTATACAAAATTCCCGATTTAACCTGAATAAAAGTGTGGCAAAGATGAATAAAGTCTGTCTGTCTGTCCCAAATTTGACTGTAATTGAATATTTGAATTATCCCTTATGATGGAATCTTTGGCATATGAACAATTCGAGGACAAATCAAAGAAACAGGCAATTTGAGAGAGCGCTAATTTCCGAGTGCAAAAATTAAAGGCAGGAAAATTATCATCATTCAAAATTCCCTATTTTCATCGTGATAAAGCCTTCAATAACGAAGATGAATATAGTCTGTCTGTCCAAATTTGATCAGTTCTTGAATTTCCCGTGTGTCAAATCGTCCTGGATCATGACATCTCATCTAGAAAACAGTTTTGAAAAAATAGGAAGAAAATTGAAAAATTGCTGGGTTGCTATTTCCTTCTTCTTCTCTGACATTTGATCGTTGAAAACCCCGCTTTTTTTTTTTACTTATTCAGGGAATGGATTGAAGGAGACTTCATCGTCTTCGATGACTCATTTGAGCACGAAGTTTGGCATGAAGGGGAGAAGACTCGACTGGTGCTCATCGTGGACATGTGGCACCCTGAACTCACAGACGACGAGAAAGCGAATCTCAGTCCCATTTGAAGAGAAAAAAGACGGAAACAAATCGTGATGCATTTTTTTTTTTTTGGTGGTGAAGAAAGAATAAGGAAAAAAATTCGTTCAGAGCTGCTGACATTTTGAGGGTTGAGGGAAAAAAAGAGGGAGAGAACCTTGTGCAATGCGGGTTCCGAACCCGCCGCGTTATTTTGCTCTCAAGGGATCGAGAATCTGTGTACGGTACTTCTTCGGCAAGAAATTTTATGTGTTTCAACTTACGAAAAAAAAAATTGTGAATCCCCCAAAAAGCAAAGGAAAATGTCTGCAGTGAAAGTTTGCCTTGTCCAGAGCAAAAGATGTTATGTGTTATTTTATTTTTTTCTCTCCTGAAATAGTTGAACAATATTTGTTCAAAATTTGTGATCGAGTTCCGTACCATGAAAAAGAAATATCTCGAGTTCAGAGATCTTGCCTCAGAAACTGCTGGAAAACCTTGTTCATGTTTGTTTCCTTGTTGTTTCAAGAAATGCCGAGGCTTTCCTTAATATTTTGAACGTGAGAAGAAGCAACCGTTTTAAGGCTCGTCGGATATTATGGTGCTGAAGCACTTGCGAAATTCCCCCGTTTTGTTTTTGTCTACCAAACCCTGTGTAGCTCATGTCCAAGCAAGTCTTCGGGGATGAGGGAATGTGAAAGGGCCTTTGATCAAGTTATAGCTCATTGGGTTGAAAATACAAAAGGACCTCTTGCTTAAAAATGGATTCCTTTTTTTCACTGGGTTAGGTCTTGCAATGGACCATTAACTTGCGCATGAAAAAAGCTCCCCTGAAAGAAATGTTTGCTGCCAAATTTGTCGGTGAATTCAAAGTCAGTCAGTGAAAAGGATTTTTTCGCAGGTGTACAATTAAAACTGTTCTTGAGTCTTACACAGAGAGTCGGCCTGAACTGAACTTCGTGCCACAAGCCTAGATTCTCAAAATTTAAAATCCTTTTGAATGCCCCAACAATACCTAGCATTTTTTTTTCGAAATGAACTGTGAAATGATAATTTGAACATATTGAGTTTTTAATTATACCATATTTTTTCTCACTTGCTTGGAGCAATAAATCCACATCCATGGAGGAAACACATGCATCAACCCCTACAAAGTGCAGAGAGAAAAAATTGGGAACAGATCCCAACCAAAAAACCCTTTTAAAAACGGATTCAGGTTCAAAAAATCGTATCACAGAAACAGTACTAATCAATTTGTCGGATCAAGTGAAACGTAAACATGACACAGAAACACATACGGTACATGAGGGTAAATAGTAAACAAGTTCAAAATCTTGTGGATTCAAAACAAAAACGAAAGATGGAAAAAGGAACACCTCAAGCATTTCGGATTTTGCCGGGAACGTAATTCCTGTCAATGACCGGTTCTTGAAGGAACATATGCAAGCAACGCTCATTTTGAGCCAACGGATGACCCGCAATTCTGCAGAAAATTCGAGCAAAAAATTATTTGAAAAAAAAAAAGGTCAACAACTCGACATAAGAATCGTTCAACTTACTTGTTGATAAAGATCTCAAGTCCCTGCTTTCGATTTTCAATGAACTCTTCTTCATAAATACCCTCGTCTCCACGAAATGGCAACTGTCGCTTCCACGCCTTTCCCGGCAATGGAGGTACAACAATCTTAAATAATCAAAAACAAATCAAATTAATTACTGGCTAATGCAGAGTTAAACAGTGTATTGAAATTATTTTTATTTCAGGAATGATATATTCCCACTTCCAGTATAAAATACCTTTGAAAAAATGTTTTTACAAATTTTTCAAGGAGCATTAATGCATCTTACATTTTGAATGCAAATCTTTTCCTTCTAATAAATGAAAAATTTACGATTTTTCAGAAAAAAATGCATTCCTCCAGGGTAAAAATTGAAGCAAGTACTCTCAACGTTTTCTCGTTCAATTTTTAATTTTCAGCGCAAAGATATTTCATTTCGATTGAAAAGTTCCTGAATCCGCAACGACTAATGCTTCGAATATAATCGAAAGCATATATTCGAGCACCTTAGAATCTCGTTCCAGCTCGTTTCTCAACCACTCGAAGTCAGAGTACCTCCTCCGCACACTCGACTCCTTCAACTTGAACACAGGCAAATTCTTTCGAATATAATCGAAAGCATATATTCGAGCACCTTAGAATCTCGTTCCAGCTCGTTTCTCAACCACTCGAAGTCAGAGTACCTCCTCCGCACACTCGACTCCTTCAACTTGAACACAGGCAAATTCGTCTGCAGAAGAATCACGAGATTGCATGCCTTTTCTTCCCAAGAGAGAACATAAGAAATATTGGCAAAAGGAAATACTGACCCTCATTCGGACTTCGTAATCGGTATGTCGCTTTTTAGCGGCTCCATGAGTAATCGGATTTATCACGTCAATCTCCAGGAAATTCGCTGGTGCAGCATAAGCATCATCCAACGTTTGCTTTCTCGCCGCGAGTCTTTTGGTGGCTTCCGAAGCTTCCATGTTACACAATGACTATTCTCTAATGTAGCAACATAACAAACAAAATATGCCGTGAACTAAGTCAGCTGAAGAAGGAAGCTAAAATATCTCGAACAGTGGGAACGAGAAGTGGAATTCGAGTTCAGTAAAATATTAACTTCATTTTCTTTCAAATAATACAAAAACGTTGCAATTTGATGGATTCGAACGAATATCGCATAATTATTCTTTGAACCTTACAAACCCACGCATGAAAGGGTGGAGTCACGACATATTCGCGACGCGAGTGTTCCCCAAAAATGTACACATACTGAAGCTTGATAGATCATCCCAGTGAAGCAACAGCCCATAAATTGATTAACATCATACACGAATATATCGCCAGAATTTTGAAAATTCACAATACGATAAAACGGATGATCTTTATTCAAGCACCTGCGTGAGATACGAATCATTTCGATGATCAACCCAACTTACGAGTGTTACTTCGCAATGGAATCACAAATTTGAAGGCGCAATGTTAATCTCAAAACACGTTGCCGAACTTCAGGGCACGAATCAGGAGAAAGAGACGAGTTATTGGGCAAGGAGCAATAGCGCAGGACGCCGCCATTTTTTAAACTGCTACCGCCATCTGTTCAAATCTCGTATTCGTGCTGAGCTTTCCCTTATTCACCACCAATCCACTGAATGGCCTCTCTATTACCGAATGATCAGAAGTTCCTGACATAACTGGGTGTAAGTATGGTCTGCTTCAGGTGACCTAAACTGTTTCTGTTCTTTAATCCTGGAGACATCCCAGGTTTCAGTAGTGTACCCTATGTACGATAATGCGCACCACTTCGGAACCTTGGACGACCTTTTCGTACATGAGTGCACAGTATACTGTATGGGAATCCTGTTGATCTGATTTTGTTCGATTTATTTGTCCGTAGTTCTTCCTATTTGTTTTATGAAACATTAAGACGAATAAGAGCTTCAATGAACAGTATTTTCCAATCGGTAAGCGAATTGGATTAGAGTCTTCAAAGTAAAAGGCTTCAAGGCGTAAACAATTATCTCATTAAATCATAAGGTAAATACCGTTTTTAATGAATTACTCCAAGACGCTCACCCAAATAAGTGACACGACGATAATTCAAATTTGTACATGAATGCAGCCGGAATTCAAGTGCACTTCGATTGCGGTGATTTTAAAAAGTTCCCGTAAAAAATGTACGATTATATTTACGTGTGACGCGCACCGAAGCTTCTAAAATTTTTGAAAATTGTATCCCTGCCTATGACGCGCACCCCCTTTTTCCATGTCAGTTTTTCAACAACAAAAAAAGGTGCATGTGATACTCAGGTAAATGTCGTTAATATTTCAACAGGGATGAAATAAATACTCCGGCATGTCAGTTCTTTTCATACGTTCCACATCATCTTTACTTTTCCGCAGCACAACGGCGAGATCCACAGAGGGTAACTTTTTCTTCTTTGGTTTAACGTCAGCACCTATTTTAGACGTTCAAGGAATGACTTAGAGACACCAAGCTATGATAACACATCCAATCGAAGAACTTCGGGGGCGAAGTCTTCAAGCAAGCTTCGCTCCTTTCTTCGCAGCAATCGGAAGTTTCTCTCCAGTCAAGAACTCATTCGTTCTCTGTTTCATGAGAAAAAAATTTCACGTCATTCGAAAATACAAAACGACCGAGAGAGAGAGAGAATTTTCAAAAATGTGTACTGTACGTCACCTCCAAAGGATTACGAGAGAACTTGTGCGCAGCTTCGGCTGCCTTCTCCCTCAGTTCCTTCTCGCGCAGTTTTGACAAATTGTCTTTCCTCGCGTCTCCGCAGCCGAACATGTGTTCGGCATCGCACAAACAATCTTGAGCTTCTTGATATTCACGACTAAATGCAGCAGTGTTTTCAAAATCCTCCAAGCAGCCATCCTCGGCTGGAAACATTGAGAGAGAGAGGTGATAATATTTCGAAGAATTTCAAATACATTTCAAAATCTAGCAAGAGGTAAACCGAGCGGCAACGACGCTGTTCGAACCTTGAAAAATACTTCGGTACAAAAATAAAATCAAATAACATTATGGCTATTGGGCACAGACCTAAAAAACGAATTCGCTGTGAACAATAATTCGTTTTAAAGAGCTTCTACTGTATGATAAAAATAAAGAGACACTCTCAATAGCTGAAATTCTAACGATTAGATTTTTTAATAATATGCTTTTTTTTGCAACATATCCAACTTCATGACACATGTTTTCATTTTTAATACCTGTACAATAAACTGTCAATTTTTCTTAATTACACTGTAACATTATTCCTCAAGGATGTGATTATTTCCAAGCTCAATACCACATCTAAATTTTACATTTGTTAATCTCATTTCAACAAGAACACGGGGAAGAAAGCAAACATTTTAGAGAAACTACGGGGAATTGATGGAAAATTCCTTTGCAAATAGAAATCGTTGTATTGAGATTTTGAATTATTATCAATATCTTATTGTAGCAAAATATTTGGTAAAGTAAGCAATACCAGTGAAGCCAAGAGGGCACGGATTTGGAGGGTCGCAATAAGCAGGCAGAACAGCATCAGTCTTCGAGTCCTGGGTGTTTTTCTGACTCCCATCTGGTTTCAGAATCTGATCACCTTCACCTGCTCCTCCTGATTGGAATAAGAATGGGATTTCAATATGAAATCACGCTTTCTGGATCTAGACCAATCTTTTTCAACCTTTATGGGCTTGTGGACCAGCAAATTTCCAGAAAAAATATTTTTGGACTGGCAAATTGGCAAAAAATATTCGGCAGACTCAAAAACGTTTCGTTTGAAAGAATTCATGGCAGGTATCTAAAAGTTCCAACTTTTTCCAAAAAGTGAGTCAAGAATCAAAGAAGTAGCTTTAGTGGAATGTCTTCAAAAAATTAGAAGGTGGACATGAAGAAAGGTTTCTCAGAATAAAAATTGAAATTATCAGCCGGTTAAAATTTGTCAGAAGCATTATTAGGAAAAAAGCCAACTCATATATTTCATAAGATAATTTCAACTCTCATCGTCTTTCTGAAAGTTCAGATAAAGATAACAGACTTCATTGCTTCTTTTGATGAATTCATCATGCTGAAGAAAATTTCCAGCAGACCAGCAAAAAACTTCTGCGGACCACAAGTTGGGGAAGAATTATCTAGAGTTCTATACTATGACTTGGCAACCATCTTGTGAACTGTTGAACTTTCAATTGAAAAAAAAAAAATCTTCATTTCAAGTTATTCAATAAACCTTGGATGTAGTGATGGCCCCAAAGAGAGGAATGCTGGAGGTACTCTTGATCCCGGGTCATCGGGTTCGTCAGGGGATCATCAATTGCATAATCATCCAGAAGTTGTTGCTCTTCATTGCCCTTCACTACTCGATCAAAATACTTGTCATCGCTATCCTCTGTCCACGGATACAGTCCATTCACTTCGGCAGAATATTGCCTGAAAAAAATGATAAAGAAAGCACACGAGTTGAAAAAATCTCGAACACAATTCGAAAAAAAAAAAAAATTTAATAAAAACTAACCTTTCAACAGGGGCTTGGAATCCCACATTGGCAGCATCGTCCCCGAAGTAATCGTACCTGCTCAAGGGATTCAGGAACTTGGAATCTCCCAGAACTTTCAGGAAAGTTTCCCTCATTGAATACGGCTCCTTCACAGTCAATCAAAGAATCATTCAATTCTCTCTTTTTTCATATTAAAAAAGTCATGGGATCTCACCGACATGACCTGATACGCCGTGACAGCATTGCAGAGAGTCGCAACAGCCAAAAGAGCGTAGAGACTCATTCTCCTCAGCTTGCACACTTGAACTTACCTCTGCTTCTTCACACAAACCAAATAATCCCCGAAATCCAGGTTAGTTAGTACTGTAAATCAAAACCCTTACACCCCTAAACTGAGTACTAATGATTTCCGAAACCCATACCAACACCCCACACGTAATTCGCCAGTGAAGTCACGATAATTTATGAAAATTATGCCTCTTTTGTTCATCAACAGCCCAAAATTGCGTCAGATCATCACAGGAAAAAATTACAAAATATTCGGTTCACTTTCCGGACGAGCTTTTCTCCCTCTGGTAACATCCAAGCACCGAGAAACTTTCAATGTGGGGAGAGAAAAACATGAGGGCATAGCCACGATAACCACAACTCGCTTATGGTCGTATCGATTTTCTTAGAAGGGCAGGTGGGATTCGGCGGTTTTCTCTTTCACATTTTTTTCTCATCCCGGAAAAAAAATGTTCACCTGAAACAATCAACCAGTATTAGAATCACGGAAAGAATGCATCGAAAGATGTCTTCAGAAAACGAAAGGTCGTCCCAGGAATTACGAAAAAAGGACTTGCTCTTTCTGACGTCAGACCACAACTTCATTTACAGATAGACTCTCTACAATGATTTTATCTGTACAACGAATTCTTTTTTTTTGGTCCATTGAACCCCCAATATAAGCCGCCACCATCGGCAATTGCCAATTTATTTTGAAATACAAATCTTCCCCAATGAGAATAAACCCCGTTCAAACTCCATCTGCCAAAATTACTGGCAACTCACATATGCTCCTGTCAAATAATTCCTTATTTGATAACCCACCAAGATTCAAGTTTCTGCGAGAGGTCTCCGATTAAAAACACAAATATTACAAAATTTACTTCGCGGAACATCAGCTAGATTCAACTCACGCATCTCAGGCTTATTTTGATGGATTTTCAAAATGATGAAAATTGTATTTCCTATTATACTCAATTTTCAAATTATTTCAACTTTCTTGATGAAACACCAACCCCTTTAAAGAGCCAGAAACCTCACCGACGAATGGTGATTTATCAAGATTCGATTATATTTTAGGGGTTCTGTACTAGGATTTTTTTTTCTGGTCCACTGAATTTCGTTGTAGAGAGGGTCCACTTGAATTACACAAAGATTACAGTGAATGAGCAGTCTGAAATCTTCATAATTCCTAGACACGCCAGCTACGATGAGAAACATTTCAAGACTTTTAATCATCATAGAGTTTCAGCAAACGATGCTCTCAGTCACCTGACAATAAGTTGAATCGGTAATACAAATTTGGTACTATCTTGATCAACAATGACGTCTTGTCATGATGCCGCGGGAATTCTTGATGCCTCACAAATGAGCACTCGCCCATGAAAAAAAAAGGAGATTCGCCATTCAAGCCCAGACCTGGAAATACATTTCCAAGCAATTTCGTATACGCAATTCTCGGCTTTCTACAAAACACATACCTTCAGATTTGTATCCCAGGACCCTGTACAGAAAGCTGTGCCATCAGGGGACATCTTCAGACAAGAAACACGATTCTCATGGCCGTATAATGCAGTTAAACGGGTAACTTTCAGGGTGTCCCAAACACCGACTGTGTAGTCGTTATAGCCAGCAAACAACAACCTCCCTAAAAATACCAATACTGTATTATAATAAACAAGCTACATTCATAGTTTCACTCGGCCAAAGAATTAAATAATACCCCGAGAAATACTGAAAAGTTGAATTTTTACGACATGATGAAAGATTCTATACGCAAGCTTAAAAATTCAACAGTAAAATCAAGAAATTTGGGGAAAAGACATACAGTATTCTATGTGAAACACTTTTTCCCATTTTACAATTTTACTGTCGCCCAACCACTGAAGTTGCAAACAAAAATAATTTTTCCTCGCTGAAATAAAAAAAAAACACTGAAGATAGCAACCATCTGGAAAGTAGAGAAACACAAACAGAATCTAGATTTAATTTTTCGATCACAAAATACACATAGCATTATGTTTTTCCAGTATCTTCCTTCAAATTTGAAATTAAATTTTATTCGAAGTCGAAGTGGCTATATTTCTTCAGACGTCACGTCATATGATCAACCAAGAACTTACCACTCAAAGAGAAATCGACAGCATTGATACCGAAAATGATGCTTTCCTTGGTGTAACACGCAACTTCTCTGTCCGCTTTCAAGTCATACAAGCGACACTGAAAACCACAAAATGAGCACCTTTTCATTTCCAACATAAATTAAAATTTGAGCATCTTTGAGTCGAACTTCAAGGAACCAGTAATTTATAAATTTCCTATCAGGGAAACACGCATTTTTATTGGAGGAAAGAAATAAGAATTACAGGAAATTGTAATTGGTGATATTCTGGGCCTTAAATTACTTCTCATATGAATTGACAGGATGCTAAATTGGAGGCAAGGATTAATTTCCTACATTAGTTTTTCACTTCATCTACAAAAACTTCAAGTTAAAATTTTTATTGCTTTCTCTTCCTTGTTTTAATTAAACAATAGCCTTCAGAAAATTCGAATAATGTGGAAAATAATTTCTATGAAGGGAGGTTTGAGTTATTGAGCTTCAACTGTACTTCTAAATTAATTTTCGTTACTCACAGTAGCATCGTCCCCGGCGGTAACAATGGCATCTCCACTTGGATAATATTTCACCGCATTAATGTCCGCTTCATGGCCCTCGAAAACGTGAACTCGTTGGCCCGTCCTCATGTCCCACTGGGACATCTTCAGACAAGAAACACGATTCTCATGGCCGTATAATGCAGTTAAACGGGTAACTTTCAGGGTGTCCCAAACACCGACTGTGTAGTCGTTATAGCCAGCAAACAACAACCTCCCTAAAAAATACAGATATTATCATAAACATTAGACGAACCTACATTTAAAGTTTCTCTCGTCCAAAAAAATTAAATAATACCCCAAAAAATACAGAAACGTTGAATTTCTACGACAGGATGAAAGATTCTGTACGCTAACTAAAAAAAATCAATCAGTAAAATCAAGAAATTTCGGGAAAAGACAACCAGTATTTTATGTGAAACACTTTTCCCCCATTTTACAATTTTACTGTAGCCCAACCACTGAAGTTGCAAACAAAAATAATTTTTCCGCACTGAAAAAAAAAAGATAGCAACCATCTGGAAAGTAGAGAAACACAAACCGAATCTAGATTTAATTTTTCGATCACAAAATACACATACCATTATGTTTTTCCAGTTTCTTCCTTCAAATTTGAATTAAAATTTTTTTCGAAGCGGCTATTTCTTCAGACGTCACGTCATATGTTCAACCAAGAACTTACCACTCAAGGAGAAATCGACAGCATTGATACCGAAAATGATGCTTTCCTTGGTGTAACACGCAACTTCTCTGTCCGCTTTCAAGTCATACAAGCGACACTGAAAACCACAAAATGAGCACCTTTTCATTCCCAACATAAATTAAAATTTGAGCCTCTTCGAGTCGAACTTCAAGGAACCAGTAAAAAAATTTGAATTAGAGATTTCCAATTAGGGAAACAAGCATTTTTATTGGAGGAAAGAAATAAGAATTACAGGAAATTGTAATTGGTGATATTCTGGGCCTTAAATTACTTCTCATATGAGTTGACAGGATGCTAAATTGGAGGCAAGGATTAATTTCCTACATTAGTTTTTCACTTCATCTACAAAAACTTCAAGTTAAAATTTTTATTGCTTTCTCTTCCTTGTTTTAATGAAACAATAGCCTTCAGAAAATTCGAATAATGTGGAAAACAATTTCTATGAAGGGAGGTTTGAGTTATTGAGCTTCAACTGTACTTCTAAATTAATTTTACAATGAGTGTCATCGTAGCAGGGGCCGCCATTGTTACCGTAGAGGTGAACCTATTATAAAGTGGCGTAATTACAGGCGAAGTACCGGGAGCTTTTGCACTTGAGCAACCGGGCAGGAGTACAGGGTGACAATTGCACTGCGATCACAACTCTGAAAATACAAACGATCATAAAATTGACGAACAACACTTCTCCCATTCCTTTTGTCAAAAATAGCGCATGAGATTTTGAGTTGAAGGTCGGAGTCATTTATCGTTATGTCATCGTCTATCTCACAGAAAAATGCAAGATAACTCACCCCGGACACGAACGTGTTGCCAGTTTCGAATGGTGCGAGATCAATGGACATCACGTCGCCACTGTGACCATGGAATCCTTGCAGCATCTGACCAGATTCCACATCCCACAGGGCACAAGTAGAGTCACCACTTCCAGTGAGAATCTGAACAAGCACACTCGTATTGAATATTATATTTTCATGTTGACTAACACTAGCACGCACCTGTTGGTCCGAGTTTGGAAACAAGCAACAGGAAACGTACGAGGAGTGAACACCAACGGTTTTCTTCTTCACAGATGCATCGGAATCTTCCAAGCTCAAGGGGTACATGGTAACCTTATTGTCAAGCCCTCTGAGAGATAGAAAACCCACAACTTTATTGTCATGCATTATTTCATTTAAATTTCAGACGTACCCGCAAGCAACTTGGTTCCCCGACGGAGAATAAGCGCAAGCCATAACCCACGTCGTAGGCATAGTTATTGCATGCTCTTTGTTCGTAGTAAAAGCGTCCCAAATGATGAGTTTCCCATCCTGATAGTAATTGAAAATACGAGTATTTTAGCTAAACAACGATTTTCGTAGCGAGGAATTATTCAAGAGCTCCCGTAATATTCATGTAGAAGTCATTCGTTTCACGAATACTCTCATTCATATCACTTCAGAGGATGAAACTGACCTGCGAGGATGACACCACATGGCGCTTGTCACACGACCAGTCGAGACACAAAACTTTTCCGGTGTGTCCTTTCAAGAGCCTTCGGGCTTTGAAATTAAACGGTTGCATGGACTCCAGGCGAGAAGAAACGCTGGCGACTGCGAATGTCGGATAATTTTACCACATCCAAGCTACACATGCAACAGTCTGGAAAATAACTCACGTGTGACATCGTTCACTTTCCTTCGCTCTTCTTCGATACGAATTTTCAAGTTGCTCACTTCCTTGAGCAAAGTATTGAGATCCGCGGCACTTTCTTGTTTATCCACCACCGAACTTGCCGTCATTTTTGTTTTCTGAGAAGGAACAGAAAATGAGTCACCAACTGCAGTTCACACAAATCGAAACGTACAAAGCAACTGAAGCATAAAAAAGATTACACGTGACCCAATGACGAACACTTCCTTCATGCTCGCAAAGAAATCTATCACATCCAATCGACACATGAGCCAATGCATGAGCACTATCTCCAAAATTCATTCACTCCGAACACCTAGCCTCCCGAATGTCTCGGAACAGCTCAACATAATTTTGTACATTCTAATTAGGCGCAATCCAACTTCGAGGAGGAACATCACGAAAACAACGTGGGGCCGCCATGTTTCACTACTGCCCAAATCGATGGGCAACAACATTCCATATCTCTTCACTACCGACATCTATGAGTGGGAAATATAGTTCAGATGCACAAGAAAAGTCCACTAACGCTGTTGCTGGTACAGATTCATGCAGTGGCTCCTAGATGTCGCGAGGGTTACATGTCAAGTCGAAGCTCGTCTGCGGAAAATTATTTCCCCTCTCCTGCGCTTCATACACGTGTTTCGTGGGAAAGCTCCGTTATGTACCTACAGTATTATGAAAACTTTACTGTGGAAATATTTCCGTTGAAAATATTTCATTACTTCGAAAGTGGGGACTATTTTAAAATTCGAATCTGTTTATCCGCGTCTTGATTGATGAATTTGTTACCGCATCCGTTTCTTTCCCAGGAAAATGGCTTGCGCGGAATCCGAACTCATCGCAAAAGTGAAGTTTCCTTTGTACTGTGTCGCGGTTTTGAATGATCGACACATCCTTGTCGCCGGTGGTGGGGGTGCCGCGAATACCGGCGTCAAAAATGGTGCCGAAATCTACTCGATTTCACACAACGGCGTCGTCAGCAAAGCCGAGCTCGTCAAAGATATAGACACTGGCAAGGACGCCGTCATGAACTGCGCTTCTTTCAAGAATGGCCTCACCACATACCTTGCCGCTGGAGCTGAAGGTGAAACGCACATATTCGCTCTCAAAAGACGCTGGAAAAAATGCGTGGATGGCGAACTCATTCCGGCATCCACAAAAGAGTTCCCGTCTCATCCCGAGATCCGAAGACGCCGAAGTTCAAGCGTCTCTCAGTCACCTAATCGCAAGCCGTCTGAACGCAGTGAAGAGAAAGTTGAAACGAAAGATACCGAGAAACCGTCCACACCTTCAAATTCTGAAGACATCGTCGGCTATGATGTGGAATGTGTGAAGGTGTTTCAGACCGACTATGCCGCGGAAAGTTACCAGAAAGTCGTCCGTTCTTTCGCTCCTTCAACACTCATCACCGGAGGAGTGGACGGAACCATCCGGGTTTGGAACGCAGAAACTTATGAGAAAACGCTGGAGATTTCTCTGAATGGTAAAGAAATCGACGATATATCTGTGTCTCTCGACGGGAAAGAACTCGTTTGCGTGCTGAAAGACCAAGTTGCTCCAGTGTTGAGTCTTGCAGATGGATCGAGATTGAACGACGTTGTGTTTAAACCGCAGGAAGACGCTAAATACTTCTTCAAGCGAGTGAAATTCGCTCGACATCATCTGTTTTCCATCAACAATCCTGTAGGGAAGCCAAGATTGCCAGGATATCTCGTGAAATATTCTTACCCCAATTACAAACAATTGATCGCGCACAAGTCGAAAGAAACTCTATCTGCTTTGGCCTTGAGTCAGGATGAAAATTTCCTTGCTGTTGGAACCATGTTCGACGGCAGTGTCGAAATCTTCATTGCATTCAGTTTACAGCTTGTAAAACGTGTTTCGGGTACACACAAATCGTTCATCACTGGTCTCGAGTTTTTTCCTGGACTTGAAGCTGCTTACGATGCGTCAGTAGTGTCCATAAGCGTTGACAACTCGGTTCAGCTTCATCACGTGGAAAAACGGAGAGAGATTCGTTTGCTCCCGGTGTTGATTATTGGAATTCTTGTGATCGTGGCCACATTTTGTGGCTGCAGTTTTGTGGATGATTATTTAACTCATTGAGTCGTGATTTGTTGGAACACCTGTGGGAAGAAAATTATATGCACTATATTCGTGGATTTTGTTTTTGGATTTGAACTGAACGTCGTTTGTTAATGATTTTGTCTCCGTGTGTAGAGATGAAGGAATCGCTTTTCGTTTCCTTCGGTTTACTGCTGTGTTTAGTGATACAAAGTATAGATTGTCGTGGTGCCAAAAACTTCGATGTGTTCCGCGGAAAAAGCCGGCGGTCGTCTGGCCGGAAAAGATTCATGGAAACGGATGACCCGAGACCCAACATAATCCTCATGATCACAGACGACCAAGACGTTGAACTCGGTAAGTATTGATTTTCCTCAGAAGGAAAAAAACCGAACCAGGTGAATTTCACGTGTCAATCATTGTCTGACTCTCCGAAGGATCGCTGAAGTTCATGCCAAAGACGTTAAAGTTGTTGCGAGACGAAGGATCTGAGTTCTTCAATTCTTATGTTACCACACCAATGTGTTGTCCATCGAGAAGTTCCATGTTGACCGGAATGTATGCCCATAATCACGGTGTTTTGACGAACAAGGATAACTGTTCTTCTACCAACTGGATCCGGAATTTTGAACCCAAGACATTTGCTCCGTATCTGAGCAAAGCCGGCTACAGAACAGGTGTGTTTCATCATTTCTGCTCCATCTATATTTATAAACATGATTAAATGTTTCTGTGTGAACTGTTCGCAGGGTATTTTGGGAAATATTTGAACAAGTATGACGGAAATCGAGTCCCTCCAGGATGGAAAGAATGGGTTGGTCTCATCCACAATTCCAAATTTTACAACTACACTGTGAATGTGAATGGGAAGAAGGTTTCGCATGGGTTCAGCTATGAAGCAGTGAGTTTATTTGATTTGAACTTTTTTGTTTCATTGTGATCATGCCTGGTGTTCCTTTTAGGACTACTTCCCCGATAAAATTCTCAACGATTCTGTGCGTTTTTTGAGGCATTCCAAGCAGGCGTATCCAGGGAAGCCAGTGTTCATGGTGATGAGCTTTCCTGGGCCTCATGGCCCTGAGGACTCTGCTCCTCAATACCAGCACATGTTCTTCAATGTTACCACGCATCAGTGAGTTGACTTCCTTGGGTTCAAAAATATGTTAACTCCGAAGATATGATGTAAAACTCATTCGTTTTAAAGTAGATCTTGTCCATTTTTCGCCTCATTGCGCCAAATGTTGTACCGAGTCGGTTTTTCTTCAAGTAAGCATTTTAGTTGTCAGATCAGCGCATGAAGACGAGAAATACAGTATGTGCAAAATTTTAGAACATATTGCTGAACAGTTCTTTTTTTTTTGCCTCCTAGCACTCCTGCATATGATTACGCACCAAATCCAGACAAGATGTGGATTCTGAGGGAAATGGAGCCAATGGAGCCCATCCACAAGAAATTTACAGATTTGCTTATGACGAAGCGACTGCAGACATTATTGTCTGTCGATGATGCTGTTGAAAGGGTTCGTTCATTTCATTAGCTCATATTTCACGTTCTTTTGGTTACTAACTTTTGTGATGTTTGTGATGGAATCTTTGAAAAATGGTGAACTGGGTTTTTGGGGAATATTTGATCCTTTTCGGCAACTATTCAAATTTTTTATTTCCCATGTTGAACGAAAAGAAGACAGAGAGTTGATAGTTCACCTAATCGTTATCAGGTAGCTTGCGTATGCTTCATGGAAATTTTAAGTCAAGTTTATTTTTCGGTTAAGTGAATTGATAATTTCGATAAGATTTCGGCGATGATCCAACTTTTTTAGAATTACTTTTTTTTTACGTTGTATCATTTCATGATGCTTTTTCATTTATTTATTTTAGATTGTAAGTGAACTGGCTGGACTCGGCGAGTTGGAGAACACGTACATAGTTTATACCTCAGACCATGGCTACCATTTAGGACAGTTTGGTCTTGTGAAGGGCAAATCTTATCCCTTCGAGTTTGACATTAAGGTGCCATTTTTGGTCAGGGGACCTAATGTTGAACCAGGTGTGAGGTGAGTGCTTTTTCATCAAATCGAAATATAGATGATTTTAAAAATTTTTTATGAAACGCAGGGTTCCGAACATTGTATTGAACGTTGACTTGGCCCCGACTTTTCTGGACATTGCTGGTGTCGAAATCCCTCCGGAAATGGATGGGAAATCTCTTCTTCCTGTTCTGGAGAGGTGAGGAATTTTCTGTGGACTAAAGAATGTTTCATTTCCGCGCAAAGAATTTTTTTAATCCAGGACGCGGAAGCATTAATTCACTCACTGGGTGTTGAGAAAAACCATGGTTTGACCTTAACGAGTCAACATTCCGCGATAGTTGCACAGCTTCATACAGTATTACATTCTGCGCCGTGCAAACTTGACATCAAACACTCGGGATTATTCATTGGGAATCGGGCGATGTTTTAAAATATTTACATCAGCACCACTCACAGAAACTCACATTTTTTTTTCATGCCTCTCACAAATACCGGACTCAATACCGTATTTACGTAGATTTTTCATGCACAAAATTTTAATTCCATTAATAATCCAGGTTTTAGTGTTGAATCTTTTTTTCTTGAGAAAAGGAAAAGGTTGTCACACACCGCTTGCTCTTCCCCTTTAGTCAATGACTTATGCATCTACAAGCTGACCATTTCTTGATTATTCTTAAACTGCTAGCTAGTACGGTATAAACATGAATTGATCCTGATTTCAACTTATCTTCAATTTTTTTCCATTAAACTAATTTTTTCGGTTGAAATTGGTCGACAATTTCCCATTAAAATCAAATACTGAACGCCTACATTTCAAAAACTTTTAAAAATGTTATGCCCGCCTGACGTGCACCCCCTTCTTTTCCTCTCAATTTTGTGAAAGAAGGTACGCCATGTACTTGATGAGTACATATGGTACTTATATTTTCAAAATTACAGTACTTGCTCAGGTATTTCCATGACATTCTTGCTATGTAACACTCAAAATCCTTTCTTTCTCTATTCTCAAAATCAAAATAACTTTCGAACCACCCCTCGTAAGTACTCATTTTCTCCTGAAGCAATGCAAATCTAGAAGCGACGAACGATCTTGCTGTCGTTCAAGGGCCAGCGTCGATATCTTCAGTGGCCAAGTGCTTGTGAATGAAGTCAATTTCTTTGTGAGATAAGTGATAATACCCGGAATGAAGATGAGAAACGACTAGAGCGTCGCCGTAGTAAAACCGGAGCATTCGCCCGGGCATCAGCATCCGCGACAACCAGGACTCGACAAAGGACACCCGGAGCCGTTCTTCGTTGAACCTGGGGATCCCAGCCACTTCAGCCAGCAACCCACTGATGAAGAGGTCAGACGGGATGATCCACACTGAAGCCCGGTACCCGGCGTCGATCAAGTCGTCGAGACAGTCGGCAGTGTAGAAATAGGACTGCACGAGATACGCAGGGTGCTGATGGAATGGGTACGACATTCCCGGGTTGTAGTCTGCTGGCAACCCGGACTCGATCCTCGTCAACCAGTTGGCGCCGTCGCGGTAATAACACCGGTTCGAGAACCGCCATCCGTACATGGACTTGGGCGACGTTTCCTTTCTGGCGAATTGTATCACGTTGTCCACCATCACGTACAAGTCGTCGTCGGTCTTGAGGATATGCGTAGCCTCTGGGCAATTCATCCTCATCCACAGCAGGGAAGCGAAGTCTTTGACGGCGATGTTCACCTTGAGCTCTTCGATGGCGATTTGCAAAATGTCTCCGTGTTGCTGAGACTCGCGCAAAATGCCGGACTGTGTTTCGCTATCGTGTGGCGTGGAGAGGAGAAATCTTAGCGTCACTTGAGGCCTGGATTTGGCCAAAGAGCCCCAGGTTTGCCTCACGATTTCCCGTTTCCGGAAATTCTTGGCCGAGCTCATGACCATGATGATGACGTGCACGTCGGGGTATAATCGAGGGTCGCACGTGGAATTGGCGCCGATTCGGGGTTCCGGGTCGAGGATTTGTTCCATTGGGGAATGTCCGGATTTTACGGTGAGTCTTGTGGCCCAGTCTGTGATTCGGATCCCGGGTAACATGCACAGGTATTGCGGCAAGTTGAAGAGGTGCAGGAAAAGGAGCTCGGGGAGGAGGATGAGCCATCGGTGGAGCTGGACCAAAAATATGCAGAGGGCCAGGATTGCCAACACTTTGAGGAATTGATTCTTGGCGCCACGTTGGAGGAAGAAAGTTCGGATTTTATTCACGAGGATTAATCGGGCGTTTTCCGATCGTCGTAAAAATTTCATTGCCTTGCGGCGGAAACGGTGTACTGCGAAATCGGACACCAACATGATGTCGAGTTGAGCACTGGTCGATGAAATGATTTCTTTTTGTCTCTTTCAAAAAAAAAATGTCCTTGCGTTCAGTAGGATTTTTTTTTACTGCCGATTCATGTAGATGAAAATGCACTGACGCGACGGCTCAGCAGAAAATTTTTGTCGCAAGAAGAAGACAGAAGAAGAAAATCTTTCTGAGAAAGAAAACTTGAGATGACACGTGGAATGATGATCACATGAATGGTTTGCAGCGATGCTGTAACCTGGTCTTGAAAATGTTTTTCATAACCCTCAAACTGTAAGATGGGAAATATTTCTCGCGTGAAATGCTGTGGTCATCTAAATGTGGCCAAAAATTATTTTTGCAAAATCTTTTTTGTTTTTGCGTCCTTGACAAATATATAGTGGAATGTTTTAGTTCTTGGTTTGATAAAGGAACGATATTTAATACATTCCTATTTTTGATGAATACATTTCAAGGTAAAACTTCAAGTGATCAGCAAAAACATTCGAATTTGGGAAGGTAATAATTTTTGTTACCTGTTTAACTGTTTAATAGAGAAGACTTGATGGAAATCGAAAATACAGGTCTTTTTTTTTTTTTTTTAGTCCAGAACTGCCTCGTAAAGAAGTTGACAGGTTGCTGAACTTGGAGGCATAGGCTCATTTGTCTTTTTATTCTTTCACTTCTTTTCAAAAAGGTTCAATTTACTCCGTTATTACTTTTCTATTTCCTGTGCCAATAAAATAATACTGTATACGAAATACTTTTAGAACATTTTTTTTATAGAGGTTTGAGTTGGAAAACCTTTAATTTTTGGAGGTTTTGTGTACAGTACTTTGTTTTTAAGGGAATTCAGACAGGCTTGAAAAAAATTAACAAATGGAGGTTCGAGTTATTGAGTTCCAACTTTTTATTGAAAAGCATGGAAAAAATACGGTATAGATAAAATTCTGTCCATCGATACACACGCATTGATTTTGCCGTATGTCCAGACCTCCGCTGTTTTTTTAATGGTCATTTGTGTCAGAAAGTTCAGGATTTAATTTGAATGTTGTGTACTTCTTTTTTTATAGGTCAGGAAGATATGTTGATGATCAAGACACGCTGGTTCCAGTTGGTTGGAGGGACTCGTTTCTCATAGAACGGGGTAAAACCCGTGTAACCCATGGCTTGCCCGGGGTGACGTGGAATTCAGTTGACCCTGATGCCATTTCTCATCTGACTGACACAGCGAGTAAACAAGATTTGATACAGTTCGAGTGCCAAAATCCGAGGTTTCAAGGTGACTGCGTCATGGGACAAAAATGGAAATGCTCTTTTGATGGATCTCGGTTAGTATTTTGAAGAATTTTTGGTTTTTCTTCTTCCGAAATGTTTATTTCAGCTACAATCGATTTAATTGATTAAAACTTTCTTTATCACTTTTTAATGTTCCCGAAGTGGTTTTGGAAATTTGTGCCCTGAAACCTGAGAAAAAAAGTGTGGATGAACTTTAAAAAGGCGTTGTCGAATGCTTAAAATAGTACATTCATTTTCTCCTTTCCTTCTTTATGTTTCAAGGTGGCGTCGACAAAAGTGTCGGTCCGCAAGAACAGGATTTTGGAATGACACGACGTGTGTTTGCGATGTTGGCGAACTGAAAAGGGGTAATAATAATAATAATAAAAAAGAACCACGTAAAGTCCGACGTGTCAGTCTCGAATTTTAAAACAAATGCGTAATTTTCTGGAACAGATCTGAAACGAATGATTCGATCAACGAACGAGGACTTCCCGGAAGTGGACGCGTCGGACGTCGAAGGGATCGTGTGGGACTCAATTGCAGAAACATCGACGACGACGAGTCCATTGTTCCCAGGACTGGAAGACAAGTGGTGTCGATTCGAGATGGGTCAGGTCAAGTGCTCTGGCGTAGACGGCGGAAGTGATGACGAGGATGATGATGACGGCGACGACGGGGATGACGGAGTCGTGGTTCCTTCAGAATCGTCTTCTTCTTGGCGACGGGAAAAAGAATCCGTGGACACCAAAATTCGAGAGTTGAAACGGCAATTGGAGCAGCTGAGGGAAATTAGGAAAAAGTTGAAGGAGAGCCGGAAGAATTTCACCCCGCCTTCGATTGAAGAGGAAGAAGAAGAAAATTCTGTAAGCATACTCCTATCGTCCTAGTTTTTTTTGATAATTTTAAAATTTTTAACTCTTTAGGTTCATGGAACAGAGATCTCAACGTCAACGAAAGCTCCTGAAAAGTGCGAATGCGAAAAAAAATCTCAGAAACAGCTGAATAAAGAACGGAAGAAGGAAGTGGAAGCAGCTGAAACGAGAGCCAGACACAGAATGAAGCAGTGGAAGAAAGACAGGAAGAGGAAGAAGCAGAGGAAGAAGACTGAAAACTGCAATCTTGAGAAGGTACATTACCTCAGCCATTTTCTTTCCATCACTGGATGTAAAATCGAATGTCGCAATTTTGGTGTCCATTTTAGAATTTTCTTTCGTCTTGTTTAGTACTGTGAACTAATCTTCATTTTTAACAGGTGAATTGTTTCTCTCATGACAACGACCACTGGCAAACCCCTCCGCTGTGGACTGATGGTCCCATGTGCGCTTGCATAAACTCCAACAATAATACCTACTGGTGTCTCAGAACAATCAATGCCACGCACAACCTGCTGTATTGTCAAGTCATCACCGGGCTCATCATGTTTTTCGATCTCTCCATAGGTAAAAATATTTCATAAAACTGTTTTCACGAATGAATGATTGATTGAAATTTGATTACTGCATATGCTTGAGTGCCACACGCGCACCTTGACTTGCAGCCTATAAGTTTGATAAAATCCTATCTCCCAATAAGACTTTTACCCCATTTTGATTGACCGAGGAAGTAGACGATTTCAAAAAATACGAGATACGGTACCAGAATTTAAATTCTGGCATAAATTCAACCTGAATTCAATTGATGGCTTTTTTTATTGAAAAGATTGTTTCTGTCAAAATTGGTCAAAAATGTTCCAATAGAATCAAGTATGAGTTGTACCCAATTTTCAGAAAAAATGTCTGTTGCATACACCCTCCTTTCTTTCCTCTCAATTTGAGAAAAAGATGTGCATACTACTCAAACAAATACGCTATACAGTACTGTAATTCAGCTTTCTGGTGTAGTATTTAATTAGAATCTTCGATGCATGAATTGATTAAAATCATTACAATGCGGCCTTTCAGGGGGTAAAATTGATTTAATCCAATGATTCCTTCAATTTAATGCGACATCTATGTGAAGTCCACAGGCATCCATCTGCGGTGATGAAGTGAAAATGAATTGCCCAAATATCCTCCGTCGCATTTCGCGATACCACTTACATTATCGTTGTTTCGATTGCAGTGTGCGGTATGCAATTATATTCATTTATGTGCCGTGCAATTAATTTGCCATGTACATTACCATCATAATTTTTGCGATTTTTGTGTCGCCGATGTAGAGGGAAAAAAAATTGCCTAGGCCGCGAACAGATTTAAAAAATTGAATCAGAATACTTCCGCGAATTCATTATTGGGGTGAGGAATTTACTTTGGCCTGGTAAATTTTCAACGAAGGTTCATCCTTCTCAAGAGACACATTTCTTGCTTGAAAATCATTTTTAGTGAATACGGTCATGTACGGTAAATAGTTCCGCTCATTTTATATTGTAAAAATTCCTCTTTTTTTTCTCTCTGCAGATCCGTTCCAGTTGCGCAATATTGCTCATTCGTTGACCGACACGGAGGCGGACTTTTTCGACTCGCAGTTGACCATCCTGCGTCGCTGTTCCGGCGCCAAGGATTGCACGGTGCGTTCGAGTTGGGAACACCGACCCAAGGCCCTCGCCGCCAAGAAGCAGGGGGCCGACGCCTACGAAAACGGCGGCACTGGCGACGAAGCTGAGGAGCCCGGGAGCAACGAGGAATCGGAGCAGCTGCTGCCCAGCGACGGCGGCGACAACTGGTGGCCACGAAAACGGGCCAGAGGGTGAAGAGGAAAGTGAAAACTCGTTCAATTGTAAACGCCTTAGTGTTCCCAACTACACTTGAGATGACTCATGATTCGTCGCATAGGTGTCGCCTGCATGTTTGAAATTTGTGTCCGATTACGGTAGTTTTAGTTGGGTTGTGTTAGTTAGGGTTTGAACAACTTGGTCCAGCTTCAGCCACCAAAAGGATTTTTCCTATTCAAATTTCGCTGATCTTCCATTAATGCCGAATTTCCTTACATCCGCGATTTTCTTTCATTACATGGGTATTACGTTCATTTTATGGATTTTAATCATGATCGAAGTTGATCCTGATGGGTTTTGTTATGTTCATTTGACACTAAAACTGTGTCGCCTGAGTTTTGTGATGATTAAGTTGTGTTTGATGAGGCCTTCATCTTGGATCAAGTTAAGAATTTATCTATCTGACATTCCAAGAAGTAAGACAAACAAATTTCCTTCCACTTTTCGTTTTCTTCCGTATGCCCGAAATTTGTGCCAATTTCGTCTCAAGTGTGTGTCGCGCCAAAGCATTCCTCGTTTTGTGATTTTTTTAGGAAAGAAGCGAATGACAGTGAGATATTTAATTGTTTTTTTCCCCTCGTTACAATAGTTTCTTGGCCATGACGAGGTGTCGCCTGTAAGAACTTGAATAAAGTGATGATTCATAAGTCCCGCATGGTTTGAGGCGACGAATAATAAACAATCCAGGTTTTGTTGCTCTTGGTAATTCATGCTAATTTTTTGTTGTGATGATGATGAAAAGTTTAGAAGTTAGATCATGCTTGAGGCTAAGTTTGGAAGTTGATGTGTGAAAAACTAATTATGAAGTTTCTCTTTTTTATTTAACGGTGGAAACGATAGTGAGAAAATTTTTGTGCAGAAGTCTTTTTTTTCTTCCCAGTGTGCCAAAATTTTGAAAGGAAACGCAGTATTAGAAGATGGTGACATCTTAAAATTTCGCTGTTCAGATTTTTTTCTTGATGTGATACGAACATGTGTGTGTTTTTTTTTTTGCATAGCGATTGGAAGAAATGAAAATGGCGAGACTGTTGTTTAGAAAAAGGAAGTCCACTTGTTCATTATTTATTGTTTCACTCGACGCCGCTGCGGAAAAAAAAAATACATAAATTATTTTTGCTGAAGGCCGTTTCGCACCAACACAAGTTTTGTGTAAGTGAATTTACACAAAGATGAGATTTTTGAAAATTCTTTTACATTTTTACACCACATTCGCTGCGTCAGATTCTGCCAAAATGGTGAGCTTGCTTTCGCAAATTGTCCTCCCTTTCATGCCCACTATCTTGAACCTTGAGCAGACCACTGCATCGTTGACTGTGGGGAAGAAGTAGTCTGTAGAGATGTCGCTCGTGAAGGCCATCTTGCGGAACATGTGTAAAACCGGTTCTGCAAGAGAAATAAAATCAAAAGGAACTTCAATAAAAATAGTTATAATGTGTTTAAATGGGAAAAATTTTATAATTGACAGCACTCGAGTTCATCATTTTGCCATGTAGAAATAAATATAAAAATTTTCTCAGAAAATAATACTTTTAATAATTTTTTCCATAAAATTTTCTTTCAAAAAACTTTCTATGTAGAGTTCATTTAGTGTCATTTCACTGAGTTTAATGGAAGTAAAATGCTCATTTAATTTGGATATAAATTTATGTATCCATTCACACAAGTGAATGTACAGTACTGTACTTTGACTTTACCCATTATAACATGATACAATTCTGTATGCTATGCTGTCCTGATTTTTCATCATCAATGATTGCATCAAAAATACATTTTTGAATTCAATTTCTACATTTTTGTGCGCAATGTGGAGTATTTTCCAAAGTTTGCCAAGGCAAGATTGAGTGCATCAGGTAGGAATATAAATAATAAATGGGGCTTGATATAAACTTTAACCAATTATTTTGTTTAATGTACACTGAGTGAACCATATCACACATCAGGATTATATGCACAGGACAGGAATGTTTGGTTCATGCATGAGTAAATGAGGTACAAAAACTGAATGCTTTGAATAATGTAAATTGCAATGGGTAAATCATGAATGCTTGATGCTTGCATGATGATATATATCATGATCTGTATATTTTGTGTGGTGCACTCACCAGTGGGTCCAGCAAAAAGCACTTGGACATTAATCTTCTCATAATCCTGCAGCAGAGCTCTGAGTAATTTGACCCCAGACATGTCAATAAAACTGACTCCGCTGAGATCTATGACCAGATGTCTAAATGGCAAAGGGTTGCCATTGGTGTCAAAGTGGACACTCATCTTCCTCAGGTGCACTCCAGACATTGCTGCTGCCAAGTGCTCTCCTGCTTTTGACATGTCTATTGAGGAGTCCTTGTTGGAGCTGCCATTCTGAGATTCCTCTTGGCTCTGTTGTGACCAAGCAATGAAAGGATGAGCCATTAAAGAACTGTATAACAAAGAATTTAATGCCCTCTTTATATCCTTACCACTGATGGAGAGATTTCTGAATGTTTGTTATTAATAGCATGGTTATTATGATCCTTGGGTGGCTTATTCAGGCAGCAGGACCAGAATCTGGACTTCTTTTGACTTTTAAGCTCCTCCAGGGCTGCCACCTCAGCTGCCCTTTTCAGGGCCCTGTCCAAAGACCTGCCCTCCTTTTTGATCTTCTTCAGGGCCTGCTCATGCCATTTCACAGGGTCCAAGCCAGTCAGGTTCACCAATTCCTCTCTGAAATAGTCTCTGTTTGCAAAATGCAATCCTGCACCATAGTGGAAAATCTTGACATTGTGTATCTCCTCTGCCTATGAGGAAGAGAAGAAAATTGTAAACCATCATGTGCTATAATTAATACATGCATGGCATCAGTATAGTATATAGGTGATGTAATCTAATTCTAGACTTACAGCAGCATATCTCTGGAGGTCAACATAGATCCCAGTATTTGGAATTTCTCCAAGGGTGCAAGCATAAGCTCGCTGGTTCCTCCACAGCAAAGTGACCAGAGATACACAGACTCCCACTGCCAGACCAAAGTCTATGTCCACTCCCACCACAGACACAAAGGTTGCCAACCATATGAAGGCATCCAACTTGCTGCTTCTCCAGGCCACCACCAGGTCCCCAAATTGGGCAAACATACCCTTCAGGGACACCACTATGATGGATGACAAAATGCACTGCAAGAAAATATGATGGAAATTAATGGGTTGTACATGGACTATTTTTTCTCTTTTAAAATACTTCTATTCATCTTGCAGTTTTACAGAAAAAATAACACATTGCAATTGCATATATCCATGCATTTCAAAAAGGAGGAGATAAACAACTTGATATTCTCTCAAAAGAAATATAAATTTAATATCTTTCACACTGAATGTATTTCTGAATTTGCTACTTGAATAATGAGCACACTGCTGTACTGTAATGAGTGAATGCTACCTTCAATAAATTATAAATGAAGTACTGTATAGAGGAAGGTTTACTTATTGCATGAATACTCCAAAAGTTTTCAAATAGTTTTTTTATAAGTTAAGCTTGAGTTTCTTATATACAGATTATTTCTGACTTCAAGTGACATTACTTTGCATACAAGTTATCATGCAGGTTTAAGAATACTGTTTTTAATATTTTTATTTTGAAAATAATCTTTAAATATATTCTTAGCTTTTTCATTCAATTTCACCAACTGCTGGTAGCAGAAACTTCTGGTAAATATAATGACTCATCAATAACTAAACTCACAATGGGTAGAGGTTCCACATATGAGCCCATGAAGAGCAGAATGAAGATCAGGATCCCACAGGACACTACATTTGAGATCTGAGTGGCACCTCCAACAGTCTGCTGCACAAGACTCCTGGACATGGATGCAGCAACTGGGGCACAACTGAAGAAGGACCCAACCACATTTGCCATCCCTTGGGCAAACAACTCCTGGTTTGGGTCTGACTCATAATTGTGGTGCTTGGCAAACATCCTTTCCAAGGAGTAGGATGTTGTGTATGCCACCACTGCTATGATCACTGAGCCTGAGAGAGCTTCTTTCATCAGTTCTAATGGTGGTGTGATGGCTGGTGGCAAACTGTATAAATAATCAAAAGGAAACCACATATAACAAAAGAAAAAAAAAGCATCCATACAAATTTCTACATAGAAAAGTTCACCTGATCATTACCCATTTAAAAAAATAAATTACTCACAGATTCAAAAATCCTTTATGATGTATAAGTTTTCATATATGCAAAAACCCATTCAAACTACATCCATTATTTTGATTTATTGAGACAAAATTGAAAATAAATATTATTTTAAATAATTTGAATTAAAAAAACATTAACAAAACCTATTGGACTATATATTTAGCAACACTTACCCAGTTGGTACAGTCTCAATGATTGGCAATTTGTACTTCTCATGAAGCTGCATGTAGTAAGACAAGAGGGTTCCACTGACCACAGCAATGAGTTCAATGGGCACAGGAACAGGACACTTTTTGGCCAACCTTGGCTGCAAAAAAGTATGCATATAAGCTGGCGTTAATACTTGTTAGAAATATATACTGACATAAATATGATTGATTACCTTGATGATTTCATTGTTGATGGCCATGGCACCCATGGTGGCAGCAGACACAATCACAGCAACCACATTTGACTCAAACAGATTGGCCACAACATTATAATGTGTCTGTATACATGGTGAAAAATGGTTTATTGGAGTGCAATAGTTTTCATGTAAACACTACAAAAACATACTGATTTGTCTGAGGATATACTTACCCTTAAAATCTTGGGGAACTCTTGAGACTCTGACAAGCGCAATCCAAAGAGCCCTGTGAGTTGAGAGGTGAACACATGCACAGCTGCTCCAGTTGTGAACCCACTGATGAGAACATCTGACAAGAGGACTGACAATGTTCCCAGCCTCAAGAAACTCATGAGCAACTGTAAATCCAAGAAATATAGGTAAAAGTCTCAGAAGAAGTCAACAGCTATTAAAACTCTCCATATCAGATGACAGAGATATATATAATGCTGCTATTATAATGTAAATCAACAAACCTGCCAGAATCCCACAGAAAATGCAATTATGGTGGCCACTTGCACATGTGTGTACCCAGTTTTAGTCTCCTCTGAGTATTCTCCATGCTTGGCCAGGAGTTGGTCAGCTAGGATCCCAGTCATCAGCATAACCACAGCAAAAGTACCTGCCTCAAAACCAAACATCATCATCAAAACACAAGAAATTCCCCTATTTTGCAAATTCCAGTGCCATCCACAAATATGTCATACATACCCATTGAGTTGTGGCGAGAATTGCAGAACAAAATATATGTCAACACTGGAAACAAGGCCATGTACAGTCCATTCACTGCTGGCATCCCTGCCAACATTGAGTAAGCCATCCCTGTGCAAAAAATCGGATAATAAATTTGATTAAATTTTTCCTTCTGAATTCATATGTTAGAACTTTAGGCAGCATAAATGTTTTGCATCTGACTCATAATCTTCCCAAAATTCCTCTTACAATTAATGTCTGTCACGTAAGTTCTCTTCTTTTCCTGTTTAGGGTCCTCAAAAAGTAGAATACTGTATATTATTGCATCATCTACATTAATAGTCCAATATATTTATAATTGCTGGGAATAAATAATCTGCATCACAGTACAACAGATGCAGCAGTAAAACATGAAAAATGACTCATTATGTAAAAAATGGAAAAGAACATTCTCAGCAGTTGTGGATCAGCTAAATTTGCGCAATTGACTACCCTGCAAAACTATAAAAATAGCCCTTCTGGAAAACATATACATGTTGAAACTCAGGTGACTGCAAGCACTGATAAGATATTCAGAAGAAGGAAATGCAAAAAACACTGAAGCAATGTTGTTCAGATGCAAAATCTTCTTCCAGCCAATCAACCTGAAAAGCGCGAAAGTATAGTGTGACAAAACCGGCTGAGTCAGGTACTGCTATTATCAATATTTGATGAATACCAAAAATAATTTTCAGCCCACATCACAGCAGGAACAATAAATGACTCTTTCTCATTTTTAGAAGTTGTCGCAGAACTCGTCATCAAGGTCATCACGAACGGGATACATTTTCAAAAAGCGAATATGTATACAGTACAGCAGAACAGGATACCGGTTTGGATCACCGACTACCCGGTATTGTAGTTTCCGGGATGACGGTATTGTAGTTTAGCAGCAATTCCCGGCGTCAAGCAGTCTCACCGAGTATCGTGCGTCACTATACTGTACTTCACCATGCATCCAGTTCAATACAGTATGCATATACAATATCTATATACAGTCACCTCTTTAGTCCGGAAATATACACATACGGTACCTTGAGGGATGTGCATGACAGCTACCGTGACGCCTGCAATCATGTCCGGCACGAAATCCCTACGGTATTCGTAATTCGGCAGCCATTTCAAGATCGGCAGGCGGGCGAACAAGGCCTCCTTCGGTCGACACTCCGCGCATCGTTTTAACCGGTGCCTTGCTGCGCTTCTTGTTCGTTCCACGTAGCCTGAATGTTTCAGATGAACCCAGAAAGACGTTTTAATTATAAATGCTGTATACGATGATGCAGTAATTTGATTACAGAGTACAATTTATGCGTGATACGACGTTTATACAGTAACGAGTGACGTGGTAGTGCGACATCTATTCACGCACATTCGTGTGCGTGTATCATGTGGAGAATCTATAATGATGTTCGCGGTTACTGTGCCAAATTTTGTATTTGATCAAATGAGTTACTGCTGCATGTGTGCGAGCTACGTGTGAAGAAAATCGTGATCCACTCGATTTATTTTTGTGTTGCTCAGGAAATATCCAGAATGTCGTCTCCGAAATGCTGTGTTAGTCTTTTACTCTTTTGTTTGGCCAAAGAACAGTGATTCCATACCAACGCCTAAATTGAATGCCAAAGTACCCCGCTTTTCAGCGCATAAATGTTGTTCGCTACGTGAACATGCTGTAGCGTGATTTCAGTGAAGTCACATAGCGGTATGCCCGATATTGTAGAGCGACATCTACAACAAACTTCGCGGAACGTCAGAATTCCAACGGAAGAGTTGTGTACTGTATAAATAACCGAAGTTACTACTTCGAACAGAGAATCGCGAGAAGATCGTTTCGTGTGTTCGGCCACGATCCTATGATTTACCTATAAAACTTTATTAGTTAATTTAATTAATTTTTAATTTATGTAACCGATTACATGCGCGTAGACGGAGGGTGGAATTACAATCGAAATAAATTTGTTATGCATTTGCACCTGAATCAAAATTAGCTGAACGTCGAAGAGGAACTCGTGAAATAACTTCACGATGCGTCTCTCGAATTTTTGAGATTTTCAGTTATTCAGAATTATATGAATAATTGGAACTTCGCCAAATTTTCTCCAATTTCAGAAGTATGATTGTCACAACTATGGAGTTTCAAGCAGTATTTTAATCGGTTGCGGCGAAAAGTGATCCTCGTTACCACAAGTTCGTGTCACGCGAGTGCGAATATGAAAGTGCGACATCTGTACTTCGGTGCGCGCTGACATTGTGTGCAGACTGCAGAGTACAGTACAGTACAGTACCTGTGGACTCCTTGACGCGGTAGTCGAACGAGTCGCAGAGTTCGTGTTGAGTGTACGGACTCCGTTCTAATTGAATGCTGAGTTTGGTGCAATTGCGACGGATTCCAAGTCCTCCTTCTCCAGGATCTTCGTCGATCGATTCCCGACTGCCACCCGTACTCCCGAATTCCGCCGCCATGGATGGTGAGTACAAATTTTCACGCTCACTTTCGTGCGACACCTGTATCATGTTCAACAAAGTAAAGCACCGGATTGTGTTATCGGCGCGGAAGATGTCGCTCAAAGCCCGCGTGCTTCACGAATTCGCAAAATTCAGAATTTCGAACATAGAAGTTCTCGAATTCCCAAGTGCACTGTTTTCACTGTGTAATTTGACACGAAAAGGGCACGTGAAACAAACGCGAACATTTCGGAGATGGAGAAATGATTTATGTTCACCGGTCAACGGCGTGAAACAATCTGAGACTCAGGGGGTCGTGTCCGAATAGTTTTCCTCCCATCGAAACGCGCGGGGGTACGCTTGAGAAGGTCCTTTTGTTTTGGGCTTTTCCTTTCATTCCACACCCCCGAAACCCTCCATTTCATTCGAGATCTTCATCTATTTAGAAAAATAATATGAGGAGACGGGGGTCTGAAGAATTCCAGCCATTTCCTTTTGTCTTTTGTTTTGGGCTTTTCCTTTCATTCCACACCCCCGAAACCCTCCATTTCATTCGAGATCTTCATCTATTTAGAAAAATAATATAAGGAGACGGGGGTCTGAAGAATTCCAGCCATTTCCTTTTGAAACCAGCTGTGTCTTCTATTTCGAAGAAAAATTGTTCCAATTTGCTATAATTTTGCACAAGGACATTTCGGGGAATTCCCTAGTGTTTATAAGAAAAGGAGATCCTTGGCTTTTTCATTTTCTCTGTAAACCAGCTGTGTCTTCTATTTCGAAGAAAAATTGTTCCAATTTGCTATAATTTTGCACAAGGACATTTCGGGGAATTCCCTAGTGTTTATAAGAAAAGGAGATCCTTGGCTTTTTCATTTTCTCTGAGAAACACTTTTATTTTCAAGCGTATAAAATCCTAATCGGTTTATCATTTGAAGCCGATTAGGTCACTTTTCAAAATAAAAATAAAAACCTCTCTATTTACGACCGACGGCCCTTTTTTTAAAAATATAAATGTCACTTTTCGAAAAAAATGTGTGCTAAAAATCAAAATTTGTAAAGATTTTCAAAGATGAACCCCTTTAGAAGAAATTGAGAACATTGATTTCAAGATATGTGTCTGTTTGCCCACATGAGTGAATTTATTTAATACAGAACTGTACTACGTAAAAGTCATTTTACGGATTTATAGAACAAAATAAAACACTATTGAAAATAGAGAAGATTGATTCACGTTACAATAAAGTTTTACAATTCTGGTTGTCGTTTTCAAATGAAAGACTAAACTCTGTTTAAAAATACTCTGCAGTCAATTTGAATTAAGAAGCATTTTGGGATGAGCATCTATTCAAACTTTGAAATTACAAACGAATTATTAATTTTTGAGAAAATTTAAGAAACATCTTAAAAATAAAAGAAAACCGCTGCTGATGAGAAATGAGAACAGTTTTTTTTAATAAAAAAATGTACAATATTCACGCGAAATGAAAATATATATTTTAAAACAAGAATAAATCATTGTTTATATATGTGGCAACATAATCTATTAAATCTTGCGAAAATGAGTTGAATAATACCACTGCTGATACAATTTTAAAAATGTGAAACACAAAAACAGTAATTTAAATTTCAAAAATGTACAGTATATCGCCCGAAATACACGTCAATTTAAAGATGAATACGTTGTATAACTGGCCAGACACTCACACTTTTGAAAACATCGAATCACTTGTCAAATGTAGTCATTTCACGATATTGAAAAAAGCTGTGGGTAGTTCATCAAAAGTCCCCTAGTCCACATTCAATTTTTTATATCCTAACATATCTTTATTAATAATGTACCACTGCTGTTCTCTTGACTGCTGGGGAAACAACATATTATTTTCTGTGCGTTTAAATCACCGCTGCATTAAAAAAGAATATTTTATTTTCAATCGAATAATCGCACCATTGAGAGCAGAAAATGTTACCACTGCTGTTCTCTTGACTGCTGGGGAAACAACATATTATTTTCTGTGCGTTTAAATCACCGCTGCATTAAAAAAGAATATTTTATTTTCAATCGAATAATCGCACCATTGAGAGCAGAAAATGTTCCAGTGATGACCTTTCAGCGAACTCAAATTCAATTACACGCGCCCGGAACAGGATCATCGGGGCTTCCCCAACACTTGATTTTTTTTTCCGCGGAGAGAAAAATTTGCGTAAATATTTCCCATCTTTTGATGTACAGTACGTTATGAAATGAGTAGGATCAAGTTGCTGGTCTTACGGGGGTTCGTGTCGTGGTGCAATTTCCGAGAAGATTTCTCGCTGAAGAATAAGAAGATCATGAAGATGAGAAGAAGAAAAAAAACATACACACGAACAAGAGTATATGTATGGAGAGAAAAAATAATATTTCGTGGCTCTCGTCCCACCGGAAACGGGAGATAAAAAACTGGTGGTTGTTGAGGGATGTGGGAGGACCTTTTATCAGGGCCCCGGAATCGGGATTTTTGCAAATCAATCACGACGCATAATTGAATTCAGTTCCCACAAAGAAGAGGGAGCATCAGGTATATTGATGGTAATTTATCCCTCGCCACTTGATGCTGGCGTCTTCCGGATTTTCCGTCACATTTCCGGGACTATTTTTTCTTCGGCTCTTTATTTGAGGAAATGCAGTAATTCTTTTTTTTCTTCTTCTTTCTAGAATTAAAATAATACGAACTTGAATAAAAAACCCCCTTCATCAGCGTTTATATTGGCACTGATGATGACTTATGTTGCTGCAAAAGCAAAACTCAATATGAGGACTCCTGAATTAGGGGGAAAGGTTAACGTACTTCCTGTCGTACCGAACCTTGCAATAATCATATTACAGTATTATAGTTTTGTACCAATAGTTTTTATAGATTTTTCAGGAAAAAAAACTGCATCTGGATGTTAATTGGAGTATTTACGAGTGTAAGAAGTTGTTGATTGCATTCAATTTTAACAATATTAGTTGAATACGATTTTCCACTATTTATCCTGTTTTTTTTACACTGTAGTACTACCGTACTTCTATAAGAAATATGGAATTATTGATGCTTGATGGATAATGTAAATTTTTTTTACAGGAATTTCCACAAATTCCTGTATCACCATCATTATTTTGAGGGGAAAAAACAAAATTTTCCAATGATGTGATTTGATAAAATGGAATGTTTACCACCATTCAATAACTTGTTCATGCTCAAATAAAAGGCTACTATGTACAGTAATCTTGCTGCAAAGTATACCAGACCTTCCCTAAATTTATTGTACAATCATCACTTTATTTGACTTACCTGGGGATGATCAGCCACACCTGCATTTTTGAAAAAAATTTTTACAACTTTTTGAAAATGGTAGCAGGTTATATGTTCTATATAGGTCCACTGATGAGGTACTGTTTTTCCTTGTGCCCAATGCACCAGGTGTGGCCCTGTGTTGCAAGCAGCAAGGGGTAATAATATGAGCATTGGTTTCTATGTGTCCAGGTCACACATTCAATGTGTATGCTTGGTTACTCTAATACTAACCATATACATGGGATGAGCGTACTGATGTTTAATTTGATTATGATGGTCCCTTATACAGTACTGTATGTGTCAAATGTTTTGTTTTCCTTCCTGCTAAAGGGGCCTGTATGCATGATCATAAGGGTTTTGTCATATGGACCCAAGGTCACATATTCCCAGCATCAGTGGTTCTCAGCCACGCCTAGTCAATTTATTGTACGAAATTCATTGCAATTCTGAATTTATTCCAAAAGTATCACATATTTGACCAATGTATATTACTGCACAGGTTGACTATACAGCAATTTTCTCAGTATGAAGAATATTATTTGGGCCCCATATAGGAGTCTCTATATATACCCAGTATGCTGTAATTGTCTACAAGAAAATTCTCTCGTTAATGGGGGTTTTTCCAATCACCTTGGATTTTATTGCAGAGAGAGGCCTGCCATGTTATTTTGAAAGAGTAGAAGTCCACATTTATCTGAGTTCTGGGTCACACATTAATTTTGAATTAGTTTCCACAGTTTAAATTTTGCATACTTGGGATATGTGATCCAAAAATTCAATTTAAACTGAAATCGATCCATGAGCTATTCTGTTGTACCAGCTTTCCAATAATTAGTATGTACAGTATACAGTATAATGCAATCTCTTGCGAATTATCTTGATTTTTAATGCTAGGAATTTTTGTTTCTTTTGGGGTATGATTTTTAATCTCCCCACCGTTTCTGGAAATGGAGTGGAAAATAAGAATGTTATTTACCACCAGTTTTATACACAACTGGCTAATTCAAGATTTTCTCCGTGTATACACGTAATCTTTTGAAAATTAAGTTTCTCTATAATACATCTCATTTGGGGGTTAAATACGACAACAAATCAATCCGAGTTTGTTGAAAAAGTGGTTTAATATTTAAGAACATTCAAGAATGTTCCAGTCTTATCAATTTTATGATCATTTTATTGAATTACGTAACGAATTCGTGGCGTACTCTGTCATACCGGACCCTATATATACTGTACTGTATTGCCATTACAAGAATACCTCGATCTTTCAAGAAATTCCTCCCGGATTTCTACACCAGGTTTTTCGAGTGTCTCTCGCTCGTTCATTGTTTTGCCTGAATGGGACCAGTTGTGTGCCCTTGATCCTCTCGCTCAGGCATCAGGGCCTGGGATCTCTGAGGGAAAAGGTCACCTGACAGCAGCCAGGTTTCTTTTTTTTTTTCTTCTTCTCGGTTTTCCTTCCCATAAAATAACATATCCCCAGAAAAAGCACCCGCCTGGCTCTCAGACATTCGTCTCCTCCCCTCCAATAAACGAAAGGCCATTCGTCTGTTTCCACGACTCCTCCCGATTTAATTCGCAATTTCCATTAATTTCCCATGATTCACTTTCCGAAAATACCCACGAGACAGAATGAGAGATTTATTTATTTTTTTGCTCTTCTTTCTTTTCGCGGTGGCCCGTGACACTAAATATATATGCAGCGCATGTTATACATTATTATAAGCTAATCAAGGACGATGCCATCGGCATCTG